AAAAAAAATGTATTTTACAAAAACAAAACTAGAGTAATATATAAGTAGGTATCTTTAATGCAATATTCTCAACAAAAATTGTAATATTATTAACTTAACAAAATTATGACACAACAAGAAGCTGATATGAACGAATAAACTTGGCAACTAAATATTCGGACATGAGTATTTTTTTTTACTTAGTATGGTGTAACATCTCCTTTTGCTTTGATTACTGCGCGTATCCTTGCAGGCATAGTACTTACAAGACTTCTGCAGTATTCAGGAGTAAAACTTGCCCAAACTTCGTCGATTTTTGCTGTTCGTTGGGGGTTGTTGCGCAAAACGGATTTTGTGTCGTGCCAAAGTGTCTCAATGACATTTAAGTCAGGGCTGTTCGCAGGCCATGAAAGGACTCTTATATCATGATCCCCAAACCATTTCTTAGTACTTTTTGCGGTATGACATGATGCACCGTCCTGTTGAAAAATATAATCGTTGTCCGGATACAGTTTTTCAACAGAGGGCAACAAACTGTTTTCTAAAATTTGTTGGTATTTCATGGCGTTAATAGTCGTTTCCACCAATTCATAATTCCCCAACCCTTTAGCTGACATGCATTCCCACACCATTATTCCTTTAGGAAACTTTACAGTTCGTTTTAAACAGTCTTTATTGAACGCTTCACTTTTTGATCTTATCACTCTTCTCCGCAAATCTCCCACGCACACATCAAATTTTGACTCGTCACTAAAAATGACCTTTGACCAATCTTCCAAGGTCCATGCCAACTTAGACTTTGCCCAGTTGTACCTATTTTTCTTTTGATTTGCCGTTATTAAAGGTTTTTCTTTGGCCTGTAACGGCACGGTGGAACAAATGTAAACCAAAAACTTAAAAATTACTTTATAAAAACTTAATCCTGACTTGTGAATCCATTTCCTACAACATTCTCGTGACAGCTTATGCCCTATTTCATCCGTCCATTGTGCTGTTATGTCCCGCAATGTGTTTCTTCGATTTTTTTTACAAAGTTTTACAAGGAGCCTTTGACTTCTTTCTGAAACTAATTTCGGTCTTCCTGAACTTTTTCCTTTAACGTCTAGTCCACCAGTTTCGCGATAATGTGAGATTATATCCGCTACAGTGGACTTTGCTAAATTCAGTTCTTCACTAATTTCCCGAATTTTTTTACCTTGGCAATACTTCTTTACAATAAGTGCACGTAATGATTTTTCAAGTGGACGTCCACGAACCATTTTGTTAAAGAATATATATATTTTTCTATGGATCTTACAACACAGTTAGGTAAAGCAGGAAGAGGAGAATGATATTTATTAACAATCAAACAATTCACACCGCCTACTTAGTGAAAATTAATGTTTTTATATATTTGTCCGAATAATTAGTTGCCAAAGTGTATTCACTTTTTCTGAAAAATCCACAGTCATATTTGAATTAAAATTCTATGTAAAGTAAAACATTCAAATTTTTTATTAAAAACTATTCTTTGAAATCTTAGCTTCCTATTTTTATGTGATTTGATAATAAAAATTAAAAACTAATTCATAAAGAGTGGTTTTTGAACGCTCCGGTTAGTTTGTCCGAACATTTAGTTGTTAGGGCTCGTATTATTTTTAGAAAATAATAATTGCGTGTTACATACTGATTAATTTTTTCAATTAGCACAAATTAGTTCTGTAATCGACTAATCAAATGTTCAATACATACATTTCTCTTGCATAAATCGCTTATTTGTTACTGTTTTATACCTTTATTTTTCAGAAAAATGTAGCATCTTTTCCTGTTACCACACGTGTCATTTCTTCACTTTTTCATTGTTGGACCTAACGCGAGGCGGGCTTGGCAGGTCCGTTTTGCCCTAGAATGTGCCGATTATGTTTAAGTGTAATCTTGGGCAATAAAATTAATATTTTTACAGCCCTCGGTAGAATAATGTATCGTGATATATTCTCAGAAATCGTGAAACGAGATTAAAATAAAATGAGTTTCAACAAAAATCTGAAAATTTAAAGTTGCAGTCTGGTGATTCCTGCCAGGCAGCCTTTGATGCTATAAGGGGTTTAAATACCTTTCTAAGAAATTGTACTTATTTTGCCTTAAACAGAACCAGCAATTCTTCCTAAAATGTATATACCTGCCCACCGGGATAGACGATTACCGGACATGGCCATAAAAACATCGTAAGCCGATATTGAAAAATAATAATTTATGACAGGTTGCCGACAACAGACCTTCAGCACAGAATAATCATTTCCCGTATTCTTTTGAAATATTAATTTTAGTGCTGGAGATAATTATTAGATATACTCAAGCACAATTTGCACACTGTAGGATGGGAATAAAAACAAAAAAAATATTCTTTTTAAGCGTACCTACGTAATAAATATTGCACAATTTGCGACACATCAAACAGCGAAGCGATGGCCTATTTGCAGGAAAAAAGAAAAGATTTTTCAGTCTTGAATAACTACGCTACAGTAAAATGTTTATTTTTTAAACTTAATACCACAATCCCTTCTTCTGCACCTGTGGAACGGGTGTTTAGTAGCGGAGACCAAATTCTGACACCAAGAAGAAATAATTTAGGTGACAATACGTTCGAAATGCTTTAATTTTAAAAAATTCATTAAACAATACATAAAAAAATACGTCAACATGTTTTCAGTTATTTTATTCGCCAAAGCTTCAAAAAGTATCTATTTTCTTGTATCTGTATCTAGATACATTTCGAAAAAATCGAAAACAATCTGTATCTAGATACTTTTATCTTCCGTATATTTATATCTGTATCTAGATACTTTTAAAAGTATCTGTCCCCAATACTGGTTGTGCTATACCTATAGTTTGCTTTGAATATCACGATTACTCAAGAGCATGTTTCACATAGTAATTTCTCATAGAAAACAGTGATTTTGCAATTAAGCTCAGCCCCATGAGTTACGACGGGTAAAAAAAACATTATCACTATTGAGGCAGGGCGGGTGGGCGGGCTTAATATTGTACCTTTTTTTCTCAATATGCGTAGTCATCGATTTTAAGTTTTTGGTATGAAAAGATGACTACTTTATTAAGAAAAAAAAAAGGCAAAATATAAGCCCCACCCACCCACCCTACCTCAATTGTGATTATTTTTTTATTCGCCGTGAGCCAAGAGGCCGAAGCTTTTAATTAAAAAAATCCTTATTTCTCTACAAGAATTTACCATGTAAGACATGTTTTTGAGTATCATGTTGATCAAGGAATGCTATGTATATCAGGTAAAAATTAAAACCAGGCTGAGATCAAGACGAATGGGTGGGGCCTATATTTTGGGTTTCTTTTTTACTTGATAAGTACATATTATAGTTTGCTTTGAAAAACACGATTACTCAAGAGCATGTTTCACATAGCATTTCTTATAAAAAACAAGGATTTTCTTCTTCTAATCTATATACTTCTGTGGCAACATCATAAATTACATATATTGAAATAGTTCGTATCAGTGGCGGCTCGTGACTGTCTGATATGGTGAGGCGATGATAGAAGTTTGACAATAATAGTAATATTACTTGGTCTTACTAGTTAGTAATGATAGAAGTCTTGCCTGAATACCGGTCATTCCCGGGTCAGTGGTAGGCTCTAATAATAATTATAATAATAACATCCATAACCACTGGGCGGAAAAATATCTTACGGATGCAATTCCCCAGTTGAAGCAAGGTGTGTTTTACGGCGAGTAGCGGGGACGCTTTGATCTGGTCCACAAGGTCGTAGCCAGTGCGTCGCTTGGAGTGTTTACAGCTTGTTAAAAAACTACTTCTATATTACTATATTACTTCAACTAAAAATACTCGATGCCCTTTTTAATTTTTCAAACACAGGACCACAGATTTGTGATCTTGAAATGTTATATTATGTTGATATAGTCCAAAAGAAAAATATATTTGTAATCAAACTATCGCCGCGACAGCACTGGATCGAGCGTATGAAACACAATTCCGCGCGTTGTCCATAACACATTGAATCAATGAACAATGTTTTTACAAGTCAAAATTTTGTTGAAAGTAGCACTTTTTTGGAGGGATTCGGGAATAGTTTTTGTGTTCTTTTCTAAACATTTTAAGCCCATGAAATTTTTAAGGTGTACTCTGGAACTTTCATGTAACTTTGCACTTCGGATGAAATTCTTTAAATCGTTATATCCCGGGATGTTGTGTAAATATTACGGCAGAGCCATTTATATGTTTCGTAGGTATCAAGTTGATTTAAAAGACTTGGAGTACTGACGATTCTGTCGCTTATCAATGGAAGTTAAATGAATGAACGGTTTTGACTGTTCGATATTTAGCAAAATTTGCCGTCGTTCTAGCTCGGTTCGCCGTGAAAACGGCGTTTCAAGAAGCAACATGACGATATCGTACTCGGGATTCATTTTTCAGTCACTCACCTGTACCTATGAAAGAGACAATAACACAAAACACCAACACGTGGGTTTTTATTCACGTTCATGCTAATTACCCATGCACCCCGCAACCCCACCGTTCTGTAAAATAAATGGAAAAATGGTTTAATGAGTACGCCGAAATTGGCCGAGAAGCACCGAAGATATCGCCTCAGTTCCGAGCGAACGCATGTATAGGAGTATAAGAGCTGAGCCATGGAAATCCGTGTCTGTGATTGGGCTTCGCTGGTTCGAGTGAACCGACGTTCTGGCCGCTTCAGTTAAAGAACTAGGGGCATAAATCGTACGGTATTCAACGGAAAATGTCAGCAGGAAGCGTAAAAAATAAAAAATCATGTACAGATTTGCCATTTCAACATATTTTTGTAACTAAAAATGCATTGAAAGCTCTTTTTTAATTATAAATTAAGTCAATCTGTTCTTAAGATATATGCTGTGAGGCGCCGCCTCACTTGCCTCATCTGACGAGCCGCCACTGGTTCGTATATGATACAAATAGTAATTAAGTATTTAATTTTGTGGTTACGTGTATGATCTAAGTACTTATGTCCTTCCATACTAATTAAAACTGAACCTAGATCACTTGCGTCAATAGTAATCGTTTTTCCATCAGTGGACGTTATTGTATCTGAGTCTGAGTCATACTTGAACTCATATAGCGGACTTGAAAAAATTTAGATGGCAGCAGAATAGCTCAAATAGCTGGTACTTCAATTACTATAGCAGCACTTGTTTTACGAGGAACTCCATCTATAGAAGCTTCAAGAGTAAGTACAATTTCGTTGTACGAATGAACATCATCGACATCGCCTGTTAACGTTATTGTATATGGACTAGCATCAGATAATTTAAACTTGTCTTCCAGTCCTACAATTTACCTGTTGTGTATCCAGATCGGGTAAGTGTGGTTTCTGTTCTTACCGGTAGGTGTGACCAAGGCAACTGTTGTAAAATCTAAATAATTTCCACTGAGTTCAATCGCTTCGTTTATTGTGATAAGATCTGGATCGCTGTCAACGTCGTAGCTACCCGTATAATATGCTTGTGTGAAAGCTGCTGGAGTAACTTCTTTTGGAAGTTCTACAAGTAGAACAGCTGTACCCACTTCGGTAACTGCTGGATCCATAGCCTGCAAAATTAATACAATATCGACTTGACCTAGAATCGTATAGAGATCCAAATTGTCCTTCAGAGTAACGGTAACAGTCTTGTCGGGGTTAAGTACAGCATCGAAAAACTCCGAATTTGCTGCAAATAATTAACATTAACCACTATCATAACAAATCAAAAGTGTAGCATGCGGTGTGTCGTGCGTTGGGTAAAAATGACTCCTATTTACTTCCTCCCAAAGTTACAGAAACCTTTTCACTGATTCCGTCATTTAGGCTAATTTGGTCTCCATCAATCAAGAACGTATCCACTCTATCTCCTTCGTTTGCTTCTCCCAAGACATAATTTCCTACATAGAAAGTATTTTTACATTTAGGTGGTATTCCGGCGTCTTTCGTAGGTAGATTTATTAAAACTGTAGCAAAACCATCGTAGACTCCTCACATACTTGCATCCAAAACCAGAAGAATATCTAGTTCACTATTAATGACACTTCGCTCTAGCAGTAGTAGTAGTAGTATATATAGTCACTGGCTCTAGGTTGTTTGCTGTAGGTGCCATCTTAATAATAATAATAATAATAATAAACCTTTATTGCCCAACAGGTTACAACCCACTTAGAGGACAACATATAGAATACAATGAACACGCTAATATACACAAACAATATATACATACAAAAATAAAATTACCAATTAAAACTTTGAAATTAATATACCTATAACTAACAAGAAAAACTCTAAATAAAAGAGTGAAATACCAACATAAATACATTTGACCTTACACCTATAATTTTTCACTAAAAATGTCATTATAAAAGACCTCAGCATCACGGCACATTATTACCATAGGCGATTTCTTTAGCACGTTGGTTCTCGGTGTTGGAAAATTGAAAGTTGATGCATGTCTTACATTAAGCCTTGGCACATGTAGATTTATATGTGATAGAATTTCGGGACAATCTACAAAATTGTGAAGCAGCTTCCAGATAAAGTGGGCATCATGTATTTTCCTACGTTCAACTAATGAAGGTATATTATGAGTGGACAACAAAAAGTCATAGTCCACATTTCTGGGTGGGTAAGCTCCATAAGTCTTAAAGGACATAAATTTGAGAAAGCGTCGTTGGATTTTTTCAATAGCCAGTTGATGACACACATAAATTGGCGACCATACAACACATGCATATTCTAGCTTGCTTAACACAAAAGAAAAATACAAAGACTTTAGCAGAGGTAAACTTTTAAAGAGGGTGGAGGTTCGCATTATAAATCCGAGAGATTTAGATGCCGACGCAGATATGGCTCGAATATGGTCGATAAACGTAAGTTTTGAATCAAAATACACTCCAAGGTCTTTCATTGTGTTAACTTGAACTAGTGGCTGATCATTTATGTAGTAGGAGGAGGACATTGGAGTAAGTTGACGAGAAAAATTAAGAAACTGACATTTATCGATGTTCAGTTTCATACGATTGGAGAACGACCATTGTGAAATGATATTTAAATTATCCTGGAGAAATCTTACATCACCAACAGAGGAAATAGAAGCAAATATTTTTTAGATCATCAGCGTACGCAAGTGTAGGGCACTTAAGTAACTCTAAGAGGTCGTTGATGAATAGGACAAAAAACAAAGGTCCAAGATTGGATCCTTGCGGAACACCTGATGTTGGAGTATAATCTTTTGATTTAGATCCATTGTAGGTTACATAGTTTACTCTATCTGAAAGGTAAGATTCAATGAGAGAAATAAATGACCTTGTAAGTCCAAACGAACTTAGTTTGCGAAGCAGAATTCCATGATCCACAGTGTCGAATGCACTGGAGAAGTCTGTGTATACAACATCTACCTGACTGTTAGCGTCAAGATGTTCACAGATAAACTGGGTAATAGTTATTAAATTGGTGGTTGTAGATTTTCCAGGCAAGAAACCATGCTGATTTTGAGATATATAGGGCCGAACATTATTCATGATGGATTTATAAATCACCTGCTCAAATATTTTTGCAAAGTTAGAAATAATTGCTATCGGTCGATAGTTCTTTAGATCCGAGATATCATCCTTCTTGTGCACAGGCACAATTCGTGCTCGCTTCCATTTGTTCGGAAAAGTGTAATTTTCAATAGCCTTATTAATGATCACCGACAGGGGTTGAGCCAACGCATATCTTGCATCATGAATCATAAAGCTAGGTATCTGGTCATCACCAGCCGTGTGCTTAATGGGAAAAGAAGCCATAATTTTAATTATATCATCTTCGCGGACTCGAACTAAGGCGAGAGATGGAATATTGCTATAGGAATCATCTTTGAAGTTATAACTTGAACTAGGTAGATATATATCAGAGAAAACCTGTGCAAATCCATTTACTATTTGATATGGTGTCTCAAACGATAGATTTTCCTGATACATCTTGCCCGGTATTCGCGTAGTACCACGCTTCATTTGCAAATATTTGAAAATTTCTTTAGGGTTATTGCAGACTGATTGTTCAACCCTGTCTATGTAGGCCCGATAACAAAGAGAAATTTGAATCTTACAGTGTGTTCGAAGTCGTTTAAATTCATTAAAAAAGAGAACATTTTTGGAGGATAACCATTTCTTTCTATAAAATAGCTTAGTCTTTAGACTAGCGATTAACGATGGTGTAAACCAAGGCGGATAGGAATGTTTACGCTGAGAAGTATACAGTGGCACAGACTTTTTAATTAAGGAGTGTAAATGGTCATAGAATGCTTCCAGGGCTTGACTGACATCAACAAAATGTTCTAAGAAGGTCCACTCAGCAGCAAGAAGGTCTTCATACAAGGTGATAAAATTGGCCTTGCGAAAGTTATAAGAGGGGGTACATATAGTTGGGAATGGCACGGTTTCAGGTTGAAATAAAAACTCCACAGTAATTGAGAGTGTCGGATGATGCGGATCTTCACGTACAAAAGGATTTTCTTCACGTTTTACTTGAATTTTCCGAAAGTTGGAGAAAATAAGATCCAACTGTCTATTATTTAAATTACCAATACTATTATGTTGAGTAAGTTGAAGCGAATCACAAAATGTACGGAGTGAGTTTACTTTAGAGCAGGTAGTAGAGGGAGTGTTGAACATTGATAGGTTGAAATCACCAATCAGTAGTGCAGTTTGACCAACAAGAAAAATTTCCAGACCTTCCAAAAATATCTCATAATCTGCAGACGAGACACTAGGAGGTATGTAACACACTACTAACAAGAAAGTAAATGTATTATACTGACATTTACAAATGCAAAGATCGATTAATGGGACCAAATCATCAATGACTGTAGTGTTGATAATTTGACAATTTATTTTATAAGATATAGCTGCAATAACACCACCACCAATCACTTTATCAACAGCATTAAATTTTCTGTCAGATCTAATGATGTTATAGTTAGACGGAAACAATTCAGAATTTTGAATAGAGTCATTCAGCCACGATTCAGTTATGACAATTATATCGAAGTCCATTTCACAAGCATTAACATAGAATGAATGAGTTTTCGAACACAGTCCTCTGGCGTTTTGGTAGTAAATAAAAATGTGATTATTTGGAACGCTGTTGGGCTGATTTAGTTTAAAGATGGATTCAAAACAGATATAATTGTAGGGATACCGTTCTTATATTTAATTTTAAGATTTTGCTCTCCTTTGGCTAAACGATCATCTAGGTTTGCTCTTACATCTCTATAGATCTGAATTTGCATAGGTGTACGGTCCGGTGAGATAGAAATGTTAGTAAAGTTAGCAGAAGCTTTTAGCTTAGCAGCAGAACGTAAAAAGGGATTAACATCTGTAGCTCTGGGTAATATTACTTTGATGGGACGTTGACGTTCTTCATTTGTAGGATCAAATTTTCCCAATCTGATAATGTTTTCTGGAGCAATCATACAATCCACGGCTGCAAGGATTTGAGGCACTGTTGTCATATCCAGGTCCAGTTGATCTTTATTTGACCTCACGTTTTCTTCTTTACTGCCATAAATTATAATATTACTTTTACGTTTTTCACGCTCAGTAACCTCCTGTACAATTTTTTCAATTTCCATCAGAGGGGCAGGAGAATTAACAGTGCCTTGATTGCGAATTGAAGTCTGCAAAGCTTTGATATCATTTTGAAGCTGTACTATAACTGTCTTTAAGCCATTTATATCATCACCCAGCTTAGTACAAGTTTTACATGTCCATGTCAAACCAGACTTTGTATGAATTTTTCTAGCCTCGGCTGCAGATATATTGACACAGTCAATCTTATAGGTGTTACCACAAATGCGACAATTAACAGTTTTATGTGGTTCAGCAGCTGTTCCACAACAATGACAATTTAACAAGCTCATTGTTATTGCAATAAGGTGGAAAAAAAAAACAGGGATACAATTTCACGCTTGCGGTGTCAGTCACAGCGACTTGTATAAAGACACATAAGCGTCAGATGGCAACGGCAGGGACCAGCAACAGAGCACAAAGGGAAAAATTAGAGAATTACAGCAATCCGAAACATAAATACATAAGGTATTTCACAGAGACGATGTGTACGTGTCCAACACACTTAACCATTATTGAGTGTTTTGGCTCACTTTGAAGTTGTCACTGTGTGCTACAATGTTTAGCGTCAATAACAGCGTCCTGATTCGCCTAATTTTCCTTACTTCCTTCTATTATGTTGAACAGTTTGTCCTTTCTGGACTATAGAATGAGTGTCGCCGTCGACAATGTACGAAAACACGAAAGAAGGTTCGTTAAATTTTAAGATTTTGGGTATGTCGAGGTGCGGTAGTTTTAGTTCTATCACAGTGGTCTCTACATCGTTTGTCGATCCCTCAAGGGAAACTTGTAGGGTCAGTAGTACTTCTTGGTACTGACTGAATACGTCGTCTCCTAACGGTTTTTTAACCGTAATTTGTGGATCTGCTTCCAGAATAAAGTCAAAAATTTCGGAATAAGCTACACACAATAATAATAATTATTCTCTAGTATGTGTGTATTTGTTGTACTTTGCCATTAAAAATAATGTGTTGTTCTAACTAGGTATATCAAATCTTTAAGTAGGTACTCACTATCAACAAAGACAACATTTATGTTTTCTGTTGCGGTTAACTGTATAGGTCCGTTAGACAATGTTACTGTGGTTCCATCTCCATTACTTTCGTATTCAGCACTGTGAATAGCGTTAAAAAATTTCGGGGTTGTTACTACTGCAGGTAGTTCTATAATCAAAGTCTCTGTAGTTACAGTACTACTAGGTGATCCCGGGATATGAGCTTATTGAATTACAGTCACCGTCCACTGATGATCATTACTAGGATCTTGCTGAAGCCCAAAGTTATCCGTAATTGCGAACGATAAACAAGAGTTGATGATACAGCGCTAGAAAAGTGTCAGCCTGTGTAGTTCTCCATCTAGTGCTCGTATTTTAGAACGTATTTGTCTTTGTGACTGTTCAGTAGTTGTAACGTATATATTGACGGTGATTGTTTCTAAGTCGACTGTATTGAGGTTGCCCAAATGTCGTGTGTGTTGATCCGCATAAAGTGTGCTAAGTCTAATGATTTGGTTGTGTGGTTGTTGGTGGTTTTTGTCCTGGCGCTGACTTGTATTAGAACGCAGAGTTGTCTCTGTTGTATAATCACCACTCACCTTCCGAGAAAACAACATCCACTGCTTGGTCTTTCGGCGAATCAATAGTAATATTTTGTTCAATCATGGTAACTACGCCATTGTTATTTTCGTCAACTTCGTACTTAGCTCTATAGTACCTACGCTTTTGAAAATTTCGGTATTACGGTTTCAAGTGATATTATGAGGATGCTTAATACTAGCTCCGCCAGCTACGTTTATAGGGTCTTCCATTTCCAAGGTGTCTTTGTCGGTACCAGTTTTGTATGTTGCTGTGTAATAAATAGGGCCCGGACTTTAGGTTTTTTGCCTTTTTGTTCCTGTTTAAGGCATTTACATAAAACTTAGATATAAATGTGTTTCGCAAAAAAATAACGTTATTTGAGCCTACTTTATAATTGCCTAATTGCCTAAAATGAGAGTATGTGACCTAAAACTGATTTTTGTGACCTAAAACGTCCTAAACTTGCTGTTTTGCGGTAATTTCACAAAAATCCAAACAATGGGTGAGCCGAAAGCAGACCTTTCCAGGAAGCAACACCAATAAAGTGCGACCGTTCTTTGAAAGACGTCTTGCGCTTTTGCTTTCAATTGTAATACTTTATGTTACAAACAAGTTTGTAACACATTTTTATTAGTTCTTTTGTAAATCACTTCTGTTAATACCACTTGCCACATTTCTGACGTTCAGTTAAAATTGTGTCGTGGTGTAAGTTTGGTGTTCACTTGTAAAATATTCTTAAACATCGTGATGCCTAAAGAAAACACCTCTAACCCGGTTAAGATTAACCACTGATGGCTCAAATCCATGGATGATGCCAATATGAATTAAATTGCCAACGATGCCAGCGGATTCTGTAAAGCATGTGGCAAAGTGGTAAACATGTAATTACGATTTTCATAACAATTTGTTGTTATTTAAGTAACATGCTATATTTTATTGTCAATGTTGAATATTCAAGTTTAAGTGTGAAAAGATGTTTCATTTGGAACAGCATGAACAAAGAGCCATTCACAAAAAGAACGTAAAGAACCCATTGCGTCAAAGTTTGCGTCAATTACATCAATTGATGTAGAAAGATCTTTTTCATGTTTAAAAAATATTTTTGCAGATAATCGCACATCAATGACATGTGAAAATCTAGAGCGATATATAGTTTGTCATGCGAATGCCCGCTTGAATAATTTTTTTATTATAGTATTACGAGTGGGTTCAAAACTTTAAATAATTAAATATATGTATTATGTTAATTAATATTGCGAATAACTGTTAAACAATACAAATACTAAAAAAAACATTGTTTTAGTTGCTTTGAAATTTTGAAGATTTCAGATTTGTAATAACCTATTTCAACCTATTTCAACATTTTTATAACCTAATTTGAAGTTTTTTAAAGCCTATTTTAGGTGCCTTTTTCATCATTTTTTGTGACCTAAAATCCGGGACCTAGTAATAAATAGAGAGCGGATTTCTAGGTTTAATGCTTTTTGTGAAAAATGTAAGCACTTCAAAATTTGTTATATCTGTAACTATGATACAATTTGAAGTCATTTGACACATTCTTTATGCTTATTTGCTTTTTTTTCAATTTTATGCATATTAAAACTTATATGCTTATTTAATGCTTTTTTCGACGAATATGAGTTTTAATGCATATTTTGTTCAAATGCCGGCCTTGTCGGGATGACAAATACTTGTTAGTTACCCGTATCGTATCGTATGCATTTTACCTGGACCATTGAAGTACACTTACTCAAAACCCTTTCTGTGAATAGGTTCCGGTCGTTTGGGTAATAAAATTTTATTATAGGATTGGAAAAATACTCCATAGATTTTATGACTTTAAATCCTTACTTCCGTTGATAATGAATTAAAGCTTTTAACCAGATGTTCTTTTTCGGCATTGTGCGGCAAGACCGTTGAAGATTTTCTAGAAAAAAGGATTATTGTACCCAACTACCTACCTTAAAATTTTTCTAATGGAAACTTTTAAGTAAATGAACCGTTTATTTCACAACCATCAGTCTATCGCATCTGTCGTATTACAGTGTTATACGTTGTTCTCCCTTGTTACATGTTGAGTTCTTTTTGGTAATATTACTAATATTTTAAAAGAATGCCGAAAGTAAAATCGACGCCGGATAAGGGATTTTCCAGGATTAAAATTAGAAAACAACAAAATATTCTGCGGAGCTTGTGTGAAAACCGCAAGTCCACTATTTTTTTAATCTATTTTCCTTTGTTAATCCTGTAATGTACGTTGTTTTATATTCAAAGTGATAAAAAATATAACGTGACGCAATATGTCAGAACGACTCTTCATGTAGAAAGGAAGAAAATGTTTGAAGTTTCTAAAATTAAACAGCAGATCATACATGAATCTGTTGCATCTACTTCCACAAAAGATGGGCAGTTTCAGTTTAATTTCGATTTATGTAAAATGATGATCCAGTCCAATATACCTTTAAAAAAATTGGAGAAAGGCCCTCTTCAAGAATTCCTTGAAAAACACTGCAATCGACATATTCCGGTTGAAAGTACTCTCCGAAAAAATTATGTTGACCCAGTGTTTCAGCAAGTTTACAACGAAATTAAACATCGCATTGGAGATAATTATTTATGGTTCGCTGTCGATGAAACAACCGATAGTTGTGGAAGATACGTGGCAAGTTTAATTGTTGAAATCTTAAATGAAAATTTCCCTAGTCGAGGGTATGTAGTAAGTTTAAAAAAAATGTTAGATAAAACAAATGGCAATATGATTACCAGATTTGTAAATGACAGTCTTACGTCATTATTTTTGCCAAATGCCGTACCGGCGAATAAAATTTTATTGATGATCTCGGATGCAGCTCGATATATGTTGAAACAGGGAATAATCTAAAAATATTGTACCCCAATTTAATTCACTCTACTTGCATTGCCCACGGTTTAAACAGAGTGGCTGAAGGAATACGTTTGCAGTTTCCTGCTGTTAATAAATTACTGGCAAATGGTAAAAAGATTTTTGTTAACGCCCTACTAAGAGTGCAACATTTTAAGGAAAAATTTCCAAACACACCATTGCCCCCAGAGCCGATTATAACGAGGTGGGGAACATGGTTACAGGGCACATTTTAAAATGACAAAATATCAAAGAATTTGAGGAAGTAGTTACGGAGTTTAGCGAAGATTCTTCTCAATCGATTAAAGATTGCATAAATATTTTGCAATCTTTAATCGATTAACAAAGATTTGCGACAAGATCTAGCTTTTCTAAGAAGCAATTATCAATTCGTATGTGAGGTAATAGAAAAGTTAGAAAAACCCAACATGTTGTTGGTAGATGCCATAAACTTAGTGAAAGAATGTAAACAACAAGCAAACGCAGTAAGGGGTGATATTGGTACTAGAGTATCTCAAAAACTTGACGAAGTGTTAAATAAAAACGCAGGTTTCGGTGTTCTTTCCGACGTTGCTCGTGTTTTACAAGGCCAGAAGGTGGAAAATTTGGAGTTAGATTCAACATTAGTTGCAAAATTCAAATTTGCGCCAACAACGAGTGTGGATGTTGAACGCACATTCTCCAATTTTAAACACATTTTAAATGATCGGCGAAAAAATTTTACAGTGGACAACTTGGAACATATTACAATTAGAGATGTACCGACTACAGTCGACCGACTAGTCGGCTTTGTCAAAACCGGTTAAAATTAGTTTAATCGACCGAAAATTGGTGTCAAAGTGTAGATAATCTTCCGCTAGTTACGATTCTGAAATCGTCGTCACGATATATGGTCCAATAAACACGCAAAGCGAATTCAAAATTTCCAAAAATTTTCCAAAAAAGTGGTTAAAATTGATTAAGTATTGTATAAACTGACCTAAATTGTGTTATTCTGTATTTTTGTACTGAATTACTACAAAAAATTAAATGTTAAAATTATCCAAACAAATTTAACACATTTTTTGGAAAAAAAAAGAAACTTTAGTTATTCCTTTTATTAAAATAAAACAAGTTTTTAAGGTAGTTAGAGAAATAGAAAAAAAACACACTGTCTGTTGCATTTATAAACCGGTTTTAGCAAAGCGGAACAGTCGGCCGACTATAATCGGTACATCTCTAATTACAATCATAAATTGTTTTAAAGAAAACTGAAATACGTGTGTAAAATATAAAGTCTAGGATTATTGTGATAATATTTTATCCAAAGTTCTAAGAAGTGTTCTTTGATTTGTAATATGATTATGTTTTTAATGCTTTTTTGCTTAAAATAAAACTTTTTTAATGAAAGTGTTATGCTTATTTAATGCTTTTTTGCTTAAAATAAAACTTTTTTATTGAAATTTAAGCGCTTATTCTTAATTTTTTTGTGCTTATAAATCCGCTCTCTAGTAATATAGTTTATCAAAGGTTGGTGCCTCGGTAGCTTCAGATTGACTGAAGTCATTGTAATTCTTAATTATGACTGTAGCTGTGCCATTGTTGAACGGGTCGGTTTCATCCTAAAATTAGAGAAATTTGTTTTAAATTTTTTAAAACATATACAAAAATTAACATAAATTTGATAATCGCGTATTATAATTTACAAAACTATTTAAAGGATAATAAAGAGAAGTTATAATAAATCTTACAGTTGCGATGATCGTCAGTGTCAAACCTTCGTCGTATGTCACAGATTGTGTAACCTTCAAAATTGCATGATACTGCCTGCTTGGCAAAGCTTTAAAGTCCAATGCAAAGTATTCTGGGGGATCAACAGTGAAGGTCATCTTTGTGTTGGAAAAGTCGATATCTTCGGCAATTATTTCTACTTCCCCAAAATTTGTAAGATCTATGTTTGGTACCAGCGGCATTGGTATTACGTAGGTGTAGGTATCTTGTGTAAATGTGGGAGCATGATTATTGGTGTCTTGTACATATAGTACCATATTCTAAGACATAATACAGTTTAATTTGTTTTGTTTTTAGTGTCCTTTTGAAATTATTAAAAGGAAACTTACAAGTGGATAAGTTGTGCCGTCACATGTTATCGACAGGGTTCGATAAATAACAAACGTGGAAGCAGGTGCCTGGCCTTTTTGATCTTCTTCATAATTATTTTTGAAATAATCATTGGTTTTTATACTCAAAGTTGAACCGTCGGCTGTAATATCTATGTATTTGGCGCCTTCTTCCTCGGTGTCCGCCTCCAGTTCTGTATATTTAGATTATACATATTATATACATGTATGAACCGATCTTAATTTGTTTTAAATTTTAACTTACGAAGATCTCCTCTATATGTAAATTCTAAGTTTAAACCGCCAATGTCATTGATTGGGTCAGTAGCAATAATAGCAGTATCCCATCCTATAAAACTACCAGGGTCGTCTACATCGCATTTTAAAACTATAAAAATAAAAAATGGATGATAGATTAACTTGTTCTTGGAAACAATATCTGCTGTTCTTGTACCATAAAAGATGCTAATCATGTGGTTTTTCAAATACTAAAGTTACCTCCTTACTTTTGTATTTTTACTCCAAGGGAATTGATTTAAAGTGGTCCCAAAACAAAAATCATAAAATATAACGAGTACATAACGACTCTTTCGTTCATATAAGTGTATATTATATGTTGTTCTACTTTGTGAACAACTTTTTGAAATAGACCAAAATTATTTTCAAATTTAAACAAACATGATGCCAATTGTCTTTAGACTCTAATTTCTGAAAGTGCTTTACCTTGAGAGGAGCATCTAGCAAGAAGAGCACTAAGAATAAAAAGGGTTATTTTTTGTTTCATGGTGCACAATACTTTAACTGAAAAACACACTCTAGATTGAGTAAAGTTAGGAAATGGGCCGAAGTTTAAATACTCTTTAATCTAATTGATTAAAAAAATAATAACTAATTTTTAATTAACTCTTTGTTTCTAGTAGATAAAATCAAATTATCTCCTATCAGAAACACAAATTGCAACACTAAATAATGAAATCAGATCAGTCATATTTATTTTTAATGTATTTATTAGAAAATTCCACTCACTATTTTTTATCCGATCAACAAGCATTTTCCTCATAACAACCAATGAAATAATTATTTTGGTGATAAAATCCACTAGTGAAAATTACAGAGGATTTTTTTTTGACAGCTCAACTGCGATTACTTGTGGTATTACTTACGAAAAAATTGGTCGAAAGTTACCCTCGCCCCCGAAATACCGTGCCACAAATACCGCTACTTTGAAAAATTCAAAAATTAATTTTGCGAATTTGTATTCAATAAAACAAACACAAGAGTATGCTATTTTATGAAATTTATTATAAACATTTTTGAGATGACATGACATTGATAGGGAGACTGGGCAAATTTTCGTTACCGGTTTAATACAATCGGTCCGGTAGTTTTGGAGATTATCTGCCTAATAAAAATCTGAACAGACGACACACAGTTTGAGCCACGACACCTAATTTTTCGTACTCTATGGGTCATTAAATGTCAAGAAAACATAAAAGTAGCTAGTCGCCCCCTAAAGACCCCATTACAATACTGTCTTTGCTTACGCTCAGGAAGTAAAAATAAAATTCGCAAAATTAAATTTTATAATTATTCGAACATTTTGTATTTTATACAACGTGTATTTCCACAACACCGAAAACACAAAATATTTGTCGACACGTTTCGCCAACCACGTTGGAATTATCTAAAAACTAAACTATGCATTTGTTCGACTGTATTTCAAGGGCGAGGGAAGGTGTGTATAAGTAACCCTAGACCACATTTTTGTTCAAAATTCAGTGATGCAACACAAGTTTGTTTATATATTTATATATATATAAAGTATGTGTGCGGGAAGTTCGACCTCCCGCATCCTTCTGAATGCGCGAAAGTCATCAAAAAAGGTCATGAGTGAAAAACATATTTTTACATCACATTATCAACGGGAACAAAGCTATCTGAGCAATATGCGGAGTGTTAAAAATATTAATATTTATACATCGGAAGAATGTCACGTAGACAGTTGTTTGATTTGAATGAGTTTATCGCCTCCAAACCGATGACTAAAATTATTCATAAACCTCAATTGAACAAAATATTCTGAATGTTGTTATTATAATTATATAATTCTTATCTTATCATTATTTTACTATTATAAAGACGAGCGTATTCTCACATTTTCGATTCTTAGTTTTATCAATAATAAATTGACCGATTCATTAATTTTTTTGAGTCACCGTGTATAACCAAATTTAAAAAATATGAATGCATTGATAAGTTACAAGTGTAGTCTGATAATATTGTTACGAAATACACCCTTACGCCGCCCCCAGTACGACGCCTATGGCCGTCGAGAGCTTTCTGGGCGTACGCACGGCGCTGATGGGTGAATCATCGCAGCTGACAGTGTCGACGGCCGAGAGGCGGGCGCTTAAAGACAGATCTGGAGCCGTCTCGAAGCAGCGTCCAGGGGAATCGCGAAGCGGAGTCGCGATGGATGTTCGTGAAGGATCTCGATAAAAGAATATGGGTTCAAATAGAGGCGACCGTAGGTAATGAGATTCATTCATCCAGTGAAGACAGTCGAGAGCGCCGGAATAATTTCTGTACATATTCGTCGCAATAGATAGTGTTGTAATTCGACCTGAAGAAATAAATTTTTGAGTTTTACCAACACCCGATTTATTATTCGTCCGTCAATCGTAACACTGGTGTCAGGAGTGGGATTAATTGTGAAATAAATCGGGATTCGAATTTGGTTGGTGCTACTAGGGGAGACCGGAACAAAGTGAACTTTCGAGAAAATTCTCTCCCGGGGTAAGAGTGGAATAACGGAATTAGACTTTCATCACCTGACATTGGCTTCGAGAATTGACATCTGTCAAGGCTCTAGAAGTTTCTAGAAGAAAATTTTATGCCGACTACCACAAGAGCGCAAACAGCCAACATGGAGGAACAACTGACAAAAATGATGAAAATGTTGAGCGAAAATCAAAGAATAATGGAAGAAAGTAGAAAAGAAGATCGAAGAATAATGGAAGAAAATAGAAAAGAAGATCGCAGAATAATGGAAGAAAATCAAAGAATAATGGAAGAAAATTTAAAAGCTATGCAAACTACACTTTTGAACAGCCGAAGCGAAATCCTCCAAGTCGTGCGAAATGAAGTGGACGAGGTGAGAAATGAAATGGAAAACAAGATCAAGGAGCTCGAAGAAAGGTTGCAAACACCACGACCTACAATTGCGACCCCTGCAGAATTCAGTCCGGTGAGAGTTCAACCCCCTATTTTCGATGGGCAGACGTCGTGGACTACTTATAAGAAGCAATTTGAAGCTGCGGCCTTGTCGAAAAGCTGGAATGACCAACAGAAAGCGACCGCTTTGGTAGTAGCACTACGAGGTGCGGCCCTGGAGATTCTACAGACATTATCAGAAGAGAACCAGAAGGACTATACCGCTTTGACGACCGCCCTCGAACTCAGATTTGGAGATGAACACCTCCGGCAAGTTTTCGTAGCGCAGCTTAAATCTAGGATTCAGAAGAGTAGTGAATCTCTTCAGGAGTTTGCGGCTGATGTTAAACGTTTGGTACACCTCGCCTATCCTGAAGCTCCGCAAGACTTCCAAGACAGACTGGCAGCAGAAACCTTCGTAAACGGCGTAAGAGATAGTGAGGTAAGAAGAGTCCTGCAAATCTCCGGGTTCAAGAAACCATCCGAGGCGCTGATTCGAGCGTTAGAAGTGGACGCATACAACAGCTCACCTCGTTCCAACGTTAAGATACGAGGCATTGGGGTTGAGGGCGAAGTAAACCCTATTCAAGAGAGTCTCGACAAAATGAGCGAGAACTTTGAGAAACTCGCCCGCGAAATAATTGCCGAAATCAAGACGGGCAGTTCTAGACAACATGGAGGGCGCCTAGAATGTTACAGGTGTGGGCGTCAAGGGCATGTTAGGAGGGATTGCCGTGTTAGATCGCCAGCGCCGATGAGGAGATCGCAGCCGCGACCTCCTCTACATCAGGAGCAGGAAAACTAAAGGCAGTCGGTACCTCGGGGCGCGTACTGGCTGCTAAAAGAGAAGCCCCAACAACTGTAATGGTTAGAAGTATCACGGGGAGCGTCGACAGTCCGACAATCAGCGGAAAAATCAATGGACGGGAATCGAAGATCATCATCGACACAGGAGCCGAAGTGTCCCTTGCACGCAGATCCAGGTTACAAAATTGTCAGATTAAATCAGTATGTACCGCCACGAATGTGAAGACGGTCACGGGAGAAACAACACCGGTTCTGGGTACAGCGGTGGTGAATGTAGAGCTCGGTCGACTCCGAATAAGGCATGAAGTTCTGGTGGCGGAAATCGCTGACGATTTCATTCTGGGAATGGACCTAATCAGCCGGTATGGTTTAATGATCGATCCAGAACAGGAAATTCTGCGTTTTGGAGCCGAAGAATTTGTGCTGGGACGTCCGAATGTGGAAGCTGCAACGGTCAGACTAGTGGTCTGTCAGACAACGAAGGTAGATGGTAATGCAGAAGTCATCGTTCCCGCCAGAGTAGAGACAAACCCCGGATACAGTTTGGGGATGGTGCAGCCGGCAAGTGACTCGACCCACAAGCTCCTGATCGCGAGCACCCTAGTCAAAACCAATCGTGACATACCCTTACGTGTGGCAAACGTGTTTCCCAATGCAGTCAATATTAGAAAAGGGGAGATTATTGGAATGTGTGAGCCAGTCGCCCGAGTGTTGAACTGCGAGGAAGAAGACGTTGAGAATGAGTCTAAGGACGGGGATACCAAAGGCTTGCAGATCAACTGGAACCAGCTGTCTGCTCGTGAGAGAAAACTGGCCAAAGGACTCATTCGTAGGCACCGTAATGTCTTCGCCTCAGAGGAGGAACCATTCGGGAAGACCAACATCGTAGAACACCGAATAAACACTGGTGACACGCAACCGATCCGTCAGGCTCCTCGAAGACTACCCCTAGCCAAACAAGAAGAAGCTACAAGACTCGTGGGCAACATGTTGAGAGATGGGGTAATTGAAGAATCCAACAGCGCGTGGTCATCTCCAGTAGTCTTGGTTACCAAGAAGGACGGGACTACCCGATTTTGCGTCGATTACAGGAAACTGAACGACGTCACGAAGAAAGACAGTTACCCCCTTCCTCGAATAGACGATACCTTGACGACCTTATCCGGCTCGGCGTGGTTTTCGACCTTGGACTTGAAGAGTGGCTACTGGCAAGTAGGCTTGCACCCGGATGACAAAGAAAAGACTGCGTTCTCCACCGGAAGTGGCCTCTATCACTTCACCGTTATGCCCTTCGGATTATGTAATGCGCCAGCAACATTCGAGCGGCTGATGGAGATGGTGCTGAAAGGATTGACATGGAAGACCTGTCTGGTATACCTCGACGACGTCATGATTATGGGCAAAACGTTTGACGACCATCTGAAGAATCTCGAGGAGGTGCTAGAACGAATGGAGAAGGCTCGTTTGAAACTAAATCCCAAGAAATGCTCGCTCTTCCAGAAAAGAGTCGAATTCCTGGGCCATATCGTGTCGGAGAAAGGAATAGAAACCAACCCGACGAAAGTTCTTGCTATCCGGGATTGGCCCATACCAAGAGACAAGCATGAACTACGAAGCTTCTTGGGACTCTGCACATATTACCGACGATTTGTAGAAGGGTATGCCGACATCGCAGCACCGTTACACCAACTGACGGAGCAGAAGGCGACTTTCAAGTGGAGCAGTACATGTGAGATGGCCTTTAAAAGACTGAAGACGGCTTTGTGCACCAGCCCCATTTTGGCTTACCCCAGGGACAAAGGAATGTTCGTCCTCGATACCGATGCGAGTAACTCGGGAGTTGGGGCCGTATTGTCGCAGATACAAGATGGGGAGGAAAGGGTTATCGAATATTTTAGCAAATTACATTCCAAGCCAGAAAGAAATTACTGTGCCACAAGGAAGGAACTGCTAGCCATTGTCAAAGCCGTCAACCACTTCCACAAGTATCTATACGGACAGGAGTTTCTGATCAGGACCGACCACGCTGCCCTCTCGTGGCTACTGCGGATAAAGAATCCCGAGGGCCAAGTAGCGCGTTGGCTGGAAAGACTACAGCAGTACCACTTTAGGATCAAACACCGAGCGGGTCGACTTCACAACAACGCTGACGCTTTGTCAAGACGTCCGTGTGGAGAGTGCAAGCACTGCGACAGGATCGACGCGGAAGAAGGGAACCTGCCCGTTCGTCGGACGATTTTTGAGCAAGATGAAGAATGGACAACGGCGCGGTTAAAGCGTGAGCAAGAAGGAGACGACATAATCGGCCCAATACTAAAGTGGAAGGAGGAAGGAGTCGAACGACCCGGCTGGGCAGAATTGTCCGACCAATCCCCCAGTTTGAAGGCGTTATGGGCCCAATGGGATTCCTTGGTCATGGAAAATGGGCTCTTGAAGCGAAAGTGGGAGAGTCCTGATGGGCGTACCTCTAAGACGATGCTGGTCCTCCCCAAGGTAAAGGTTTCCAAGGTCTTAGAGGAAGTTCATGCCGGAACATCTGGAGCCCACTTCGGAGTGAACAAAACTTTGTCGAAAATCCGGGAGAGGTTTTATTGGGTAGGTTATCGTGACGATGTCGAAAGTTGGTGTCGCAAGTGTACGACGTGTGCGGCCAGCCAAGGTCCTCATACCAGGGCGAGGGGAAAGATGAAGAAATATAATGTTGGGGCACCTTTCGAAAGAATCGCCATCGATGTGGCCGGTCCGTTCCCTGTAACAAACGACGGCAACAGGTTTATCCTGGTGGCTAGCGACTACTTCAGCAAGTGGCCAGATGCCTATGCCATTCCAAATCAGGAAGCCGTCACGGTCGCGAAAGTATTGGTTGACAATTGGATCAGTAGGTTTGGCGTCCCCTTGGAACTTCACTCAGACCAGGGACGCAATTTCGAATCCAACGTCTTCCAAAGAGTGATGCAGCTACTGGGAATACGTAAGACAAGGACAACGCCACTACACCCACAGTCCGACGGCATGGTGGAAAGGTTCAATCGGACTATGGAGCAACACCTTTCGAAAGTGGTAGAAGAGCACCAAAGGGATTGGGACCAGCACCTTCCACTATTCCTGCTGGCCTACCGCGCAGCTATCCACGACACCACGGGCCAAACACCTGCTCACGTTGTATTTGGGAAGGAACTGCGGCTGCCCTGTGACCTAGTCTTTGGATTGCCATCCGAAGAACCAATGGAAGTACGTGACTACGTGGACGAACTGAAAGAGAAGTTGGTCAACGTGCATGAACTAGTGAGGGGCCGGATCAAGATTGCCAGTGACCGAATGAAGACCCGTTATGATGTGAAGGCCAACTGTGGCGGATTCCAGGAAGATGACTTAGTGTGGCTGTATAATCCCCGACGGAAGAAGGGACGTTGCCCAAAACTGGCTCCTGACTGGGAAGGTCCATACACAATCGTCACTAGAATAAATGACGTAGTTTATCGGATCCAACGTGGACCAAAGACAAAGATGAAGATCGTTCATCTCGATCGACTAAAACGGTACGAAGGAAACAACGAAGACGCTTCCGATCGGGACGATCGGATTTGAAGAGGGGGGCAGTGTTACGAAATACACCCTTACGCCGCCCCCAGTACGACGCCTATGGCCGTCGAGAGCTTTCTGGGCGTACGCACGGCGCTGATGGGTGAATCATCGCAGCTGACAGTGTCGACGGCCGAGAGGCGGGCGCATAAAGACAGATCTGGAGCCGTCTCGAAGCAGCGTCCAGGGGAATCGCGAAGCGGAGTCGCGATGGATGTTCGTGAAGGATCTCGATAAAAGAATATGGGTTCAAATAGAGGCGACCGTAGGTAATGAGATTCATTCATCCAGTGAAGACAGTCGAGAGCGCCGGAATAATTTCTGTACATATTCGTCGCAATAGATAGTGTTGTAATTCGACCTGAAGAAATAAATTTTTGAGTTTTACCAACACCCGATTTATTATTCGTCCGTCAATCGTAACAATATTTTGCACCTTTTCAAAAGAATTTATTCGGCAAAATTTAAGGAGATAAGTAAATATATTTTGATATTATACATTTATTATGCTTATCATAACTGTAAAACATCTGCAAGATGTCAGAGCATTCGGTTTTCCAAATTCAAAATGAAATTGCAAAGTGTTGTTTCATAATTTTGATTTTTTTTTCTAAAAGTCTGGACGTTTTGGGTAGAAACATGTTATTTTATACAATTTAAAACCCATTTACTTTGTACAATTTTGAAGTGACTCCATTATATTATTGGTGGGGACGATTAGACAGATTTTGATTCGTTGATTGGTGGTGGTATACTTTCTTGGAGAAAATGAAGACATCAGAAGAAGATATAATTTTTTTTTTGAGATACTTGGCAGATCCTGGATATGTAAAAGGTACTGGAGAAGAACTGGGAGTTGAACAATCTACAATTGCCCAAGTTGTTGTTTTCGGAAGCACCAAACTGGATTAAATTTACAGACTAATAGTGGAAAACAATTTCTTACAGTAATAAAAATCTTTTTTTATTGAAGTCGATATACGTAGCAACATTGTAAAAGGAAAACTTTATTAATCCGGTCCATTGATGTCGACACTACTTGGAAGCTTGACAATGATGGCCGATTCGCTACTTTCAGAACCGAGGGTTACCGTTAGCGTCAAAGTCATCACACATTCGGATACTGAGTCCACTGGTGTATCTGTAACCGAGATTGTGACTTTGTTTGTTGTTTTGTCATAGTCAGCTTTGAAGTATGTGTCTAGAAAGTGAATTTGGTAAGGAATGGCTAAAATAAAGTTCTTGTGTTATACCATCATTTATAGTTACGTCAGTTTGCTCTGAGTCACTAGTAGTAACCACAATTTCTTGTGCGGGGTCGTCGGGTGTTATGACAGGGTTGCCGCCATCATTAGAGTAAGTAAATGCGTATATAAGCTCTGAAAATGTTGGAACTTCAGGCTGACTAAAGTCATTGTCATGGGCGCCCATAGGGGGGGGGCAGGGGGGGCGATGGCCCCCCCTGAGATTCTACGTCAATTTCCTTTTTATTTGTCAAAATTAAACTTCAGCACATTTGTAAGAGAAGATACATACCCTACACTTTCAGTTTTATGGCCACACAAACAGAAATGTGACAAACTTAGACCATCTGGTTTTGAAACCCTCTGTTCGGCCCAGATTTGCCTGGAAACATCATAAATCTATCCTTTTTAACCGGTACTGAATTATGGGTTGTTTCGTTATGTGCTTCTTACAGTTATTACAACACAAGAGCAAACATTTTATTGCTTACGTCCAAAAATTCATTCCGTTTTCACTTTTTATCTGTGGTGAAGTGACGTGTAAAGACGAACAGTTGTTAAACCGGCGTTTTGTTGACTATACTTTTTATTATTTATTTATTTCAAAATACAAGCGTAAGTACTCTTGATTAAATGTCTGTTTAAATTTTAAATTTAATATTTTATTTAAAAACAAAGAAATATGGATATTTGAAATTTCTTCAAGAGAAAAATTACAAATACTGATGATGATACTTCAGCTAATAAGAAGTATAAAATAAGTGGTGTTATTTATTACTACTGATGGCGGGTTTTCAGAGTAGCCATCGATTTCGAGTGGAAATTTCGGTTGCTCCAGAACTGTTTCACCAGTGGGCGTGCGAACTACAACACAGATAGCATAGAAAATTATTTTGGCACTTTTATTCCATACCTGGATCATTTCATTCTTTCCTTAACGACATGATTTTCCGAAACAAAAGTGTCATCATACTCATTATTTTCCTTATATCCAAAGAATGTACATAACCAAAAACCAAGTTGGGGCAAACTTAAAACCAAGGGTTGGGCAAATTTTACTCCACTGACAATTTATCAGACGAAATCCAAAATTGGCAGGATTTTGTAAAAATAAAAAAACTTGACAGTAGTATTTGAGAGAGAGAGAGAGAGAGTTAATGCCGAAGAAACATCGGTTGGTAGAGTAATTGACGATTTTGACCAAGAAAAAAGAAATTAGCAATTTGCTTTTGATTAATTTTATATTTTTATAACTTTTTAATTTTAATATTTTACACTGTTTTGTTAATAATAAGAATAATGATGTTGTAGGGTTATTTGCGAGTAGTTTTGATTAACGTAGTTGATGATTAAAATATATATTTATAATAGTAAAGATTTATATCATTATATTCTTTATATATACAAGAACAGAGTATATTACAAAAATTTCAGGGTGGCCCCCCCTGAGAAAGGTTTCTATGGGCGCCCATGGTCATTGTCCTTCTGAATTATAACTGTAGCTGCGGCAGTGTTAAACGGGTCAGTTTCATCCTAAATTTACAAAAAGAGTTTTCAAAGTTCAAAGTAATATAAATATAAGTTATCGCTCTTACAATTGCGACGATCGTCAGTGTCAAATTATTGTCGTATCTCACGTATTGTGAAACTTTCAAAATTGCTTGATACTGCCTGTTTCCCAAAGCTTTATAGTCCAATGCAAAATATTCTAGGGGAACAATATTGAAGTGCATCTTTGTGTTGGAAAAGTCGATGTCTTCGGCAATTATTGATACTTCGCCAAAATTTGTGAGATCAATATTGGGTACCAGCGGCATTGGTATTACGTAGGTGTAGGTATCTTGTGTAAATGTGGGAGCATGATTATTGGTGTCTTGTACATATAGTGCTAGATTCTAAAAGATAATACAGTTTAATTTGTTTTGTTTTTAGAGTTAGTATGAAATTATTAAAAGGAAACTTACAAATGGATAAGTTGTGCCATCACATGTTATTGTCAGGGTTCGATAAATAGTAAATGAGGTACCAGATGGTTGGTCTTTTTGATCTTCTTCATAATTATTTCTGAAATAATCATTGGTTTTTATGCTCAAAGTTGAACCGTCGGCTGTAACATCTATGTATTTGGCCCCTTCTTCCTCGCTGCCCGCCGCCACTTCTGTATATTTAGACATATTGTATACATGTATGAACCGATCTTAACTTGTTTTAAATTTTAACTTACGAAGGTCTCCTCTATATGTAAATTGTAAGTCTAAGCTCTCAGAGTCATAGATTGGATCAACATAAACAATGGAAGTATCCCATCCTAATAAACCATTAGGGTCGTCTATGTCACATCTAGTAACTAAAAATTAAAAATATGTATGATAGATTAAATTCCACTAGATGCTAAACTTGCGGAGTTCAATAGAATGTTTTGTCTTAATTCTGGAAATCGACAATTTGGACTAATCATATGGTTTTTCAAATACTAAAATTACTTCCTTACTTTTGTATTTTTACTCCAATTAAATTGATTACAGTGATCGCAAAATAAGAATAAAAAAATAGAACCACATTAAAACCTCATATAAGTTTATATCATATGTTTTTCTACTTTGTGAACAATTTTGAAATAGACCAAAATTATTTTCAAATTTGAACAAACATGATGCCAATTGTCTTTAGATTCTAATTTCTGAAAGAGCTTTACCTTGAGAGGAGCATCTAGCAAGAAGAGCACTAAGAATAAAAAGAGTTATGTTTTGTCTCATGGTGCAGACTTTAACTGAAAAAAAAAACACTCTTGAATGAGTAACGCTAGGAAATGAGTGAAGTTTAAATACTCTAATTGATAAAAACAAATATGAACGAATTTTTAATGAAGTCTTTGTTTCGAACAGATAAAATCAAATTATCTCCTATCAAAAACAGAAATTGTCACACTAAACTGTGAAATCAGATCAATCATATTTATTTTGAATGCATTTGTTATAAAAAAAGACTAGATCATCAAAAAATAAAATTTTATTAAGCTGAATCATATGTACATGATTGGCAGGTGTCTTGAAGTAGGCAACCAAATAAACATCCACTTGTGTAGTATCGTGTATAAACAACTTCAGTTTGATATATAGGTTTATTTTATTATTTTCCAAGTTTATTTCCATGTTCGATCTAAAAGCTGTGTAATAACACCTAATTCTTATTACCTGGGATTATATTTTTTATACAGAGTGATCATATTTGCAGTCAACTTTATTTATAGTTCAAGTGCGTACTGGAAACTGTTTAAAAAGTACACTATCTTCATGATATTGACACCCGGTTTACTGGTTTGAGTTTTATGCCAAAAGTTGTAGATAGATTTATTCATATATGCGCCTAAAATATTTAGTATTAGTTAATCTAATCTTATTAATAGCTTTTCAAAATTGGGTATCCGGTCTTTGTTGGATCACGTTCTATATAAGTGTACAACGTCATCCATTTTTCGAGATAGTTACTATCAAAGTGATTTTTTCCTGACACTTATATTTGGTGTGTTTACACCTATGCTTCTAGAAAATTTATAATAAGGAGTCTTATTATTTTAATAAAATTCAAACTTGCCATAGATAGCTATATTTTAGAAAGCTACGTAAATAAGATTAAAGATTAAAGATAGGTAGTAATTACGCACATAATATACGTAACACTAAAGTTTTAATTTATCTTTTAGTCTGTTTTTCACATGCCGCTTTAGTTTTTTTTTAATTGTATTTTTAACCGTTATAAAAATGCATAATAAAGCTGTTAATGGACTAACACTTAATAGAAAGGTAAATGTAAATAGAATACTTCAACAAGAAAACAAGAGAAACTCTAAAAAAATTGGTTAACTAAACAAATCAGTTCAGTGAAACAGTGTTAAATACCTTACATTTTTGTGAGCTTACTGAAGTTACTGGAATCTATAAGTACTTGTAGATAATATTGGATACAAAAAAATTTTAATCCAGATAAGCTATATTGTCCTTGCTTTATTATTTTATAATGTAACATAGGTATATACAGAATTCCTGTGTACATGTACCATATTTCCATATTTGTAACATTCGCAATAACCACACAAAATTGAGAAATATATGTGTATTAAAATACACATACAAAGAAAATTAAAATAATGTTAACATGTTACTTAAAAAAAGTAGACAACATGATAACAAAATCGATCAGTCGTAAAGATAACAATATAACAATCATTTTAAGTAAGTACTTACAACAGACTACATAAAGTGATAAACAAAAGCATTTTTTTACTTTGATTAATTATTATTAAAGCTATCATACTTTGGATAGCGTATGTTTATGTATTTTTTCTCAAATGTTAATGATAAATAGTAGCTCGACGTTATTTATTAAACTTACTTTACCACAATACATGTTGATATCTTTACTAATAAGTGAAATATTGCTTGTTTAATAAAATCAGAAACACTCGACGTATCTGTTTCATAATCCAAGAAGAGTATGCAAAAATGATAATCAAAGCTATATATGTATCAACATGTTGGTTTGTCCTAACTGAGTTAATAAGCTGATATTTCTCCATTTTTAAAATTCGTATTTGTAACATATGGCGTATATATTTTTGACTTACGTAAGTAAGTTACTAAAAATTAGATAAATGGATTATTGTTAATTCAACTAGTCATACAATAATTTATAAAAGATAACATTTACGTTGCACATCAATCACACTTTAATCATACAGTAGAAGTTAATAATTTCTGTTACTGGTGTTAATAATAATTTCAAACATTTTTCTTTAAAACTACAAGAATTATAACAACTATTTTTACATTTGGAAAATTTGGACGATTTATGAGGTCAGAAAAATAAAAAAAGGCAACACACGTAAACATCTTATCTAAATTATTGTATTAAACATTGAACTTCAGGACAAGTATTTAATTTATCAAAAGAGAACTGAAGGACTGATACAGTATCTGACGGTATCCATCAATCAGCACAGCGAAAATAAAATTTCTGCGAATCTCGAAACGAACTTAACAGATTCCGACATTTTTTGTGCATTGTTGTGCAAATGTAGTGATAAAATTTCAGAGGAAACGTAGGATTAGTCATCTTGTTATTATAAGAACAATATTTCTTTACACTTCTAGGTTCTGTTAATACAATACAGATAAAGCAATCACACGATATTAATAATAATAATCTTTTAATTTAGTGAGAGTCGGACAAAAAATATCAGATGTATATGTTTAGGTTATATTGGGTTTATCTACTTATCCCAATCCGATGGATATTCATTTTCATTTTTCATGGTGGGTTTGTTAACTATAAAATGTAGAAAGATGTTATGCAATGGTAATTACTTTTCGGGGATTTCCCTTTCTCTGAAGGCATACAAGTACCTACTTAAGCTAACTCGTCTACTATCTTTTGAATACAGAAAAAAATGTAGAATCAGTTTTTAAAATTTAGAAAGGGAAGTTCTGTCTAAATAACTTAGGACCATTTTTTTTCACTTGAGATTTAAAGTTTACTTTCGAATTACAAGACTAATAACATTTACTAACTATATTTGTTTATTTTTTTACTGACACTTGAATTTAAAATGAAATTGGGTTACACTAGTCACTACTAATGATGTCAAGGTTTGGAACACTACATTATCAAGTATTTCTCGGAAAATGATTAAAATTTCAAAAAAATTTTGCAATTCCACTACACCTGTAGCAAAATAGTTCCATTATCAATCCCACTTGTTTAAAGTGAAAAATATCCACTTGAAAGATAGACACTGATTTTATTCTCAATAAAAAAAATACCTACGTACATGCATACTTATGTCATGAGCATTTCTAAATCTTAGTCACTTTTGACTCTATATGTTTTTCGTTTTTTAGACCTCGATTGATAAAACTATAATGCGCACAAATATCCCCTTTCTCATTTAAGTAAATATATGCAAAGATCTTAAACCTGTCAGAACGTTAACATCTTTATTGTTATAAACGAAAGTAAATATAACATGGATTAAAGAACAAAAGACTTTTGCAATCGCATAAAGTAGTACTAGTTTTCGAAAACCTCAGTCTCATTCATCATGGACCAAACAGAATTGACCACCATCCCATCGACCATGTCCCCGGTCACTGTATCCTTCTCGTGGTACGACTACGTAATTTTCTCCGCTATGCTAGCAATCAGTGTCATGATTGGACTATATTTTGGTTGTTTTGGTACCAAGCAGTCCTCAGCCAGTGAGTACCTCATGGGAGGCAAAAAAATGCACGTTTTCCCCATCGTGATGTCCTTGGTAGCAAGGTAACCTTAGCACGATTACTCAACAAAAACGAACTTTGCAAATTTTAGTCACATTTCTGGGATAACTCTACTGGGAGTACCAGCAGATGTGTACAAATATGGTGCTGGGTACTGGTTGTGCGTTCTAGCATTCATGATCGTGGCAGCTGTGTCGATTTTGATTTATTTGCCTGTGCTTTTTAACGCAGAGGTGACCAGTGTTTACGAGTACTTGGAAAAGAGGTTTGACCAGAAAACGAGGGTGTTTTCTTCATTCTTGTTCGCGGTGTCGCAGGTGCTGTTTTTGCCGATAGTGGTGTATATTCCAGCTCTGGCGTTTTCAGCAGGTGAAGGTTTATTTCTAGATTTAGGTTTTTCAAAAAATTAGAAGAATACGTAAATTTTGCTAATGTTTAAAAATACAGATGCTCATAATCGTTACTCATAGATGACGCCTTCGAATTTTTGGTGAAGATAAACTCGCTATTATTGTACATTGTAGTACGAACTATTAAAACCGTGTTCCCAGAACTTCAGGAATATCAGATAAATCGTTTATGAGATAATCGATAAAATAAATCTTTTTTTGAGATAGCATGTGCAAACAATTCTAAAAAATGAAGGCCTCCTACTGAAGCAGAGGTCACTCAAGATATTTATTCTGTCTTGACGTCATCTTCTTTTTGGCGGGAATGAATATCATTTAAATAGTTTGAGTTCTATAGCTCTTAAATCATTGTAAATCTCTTGTTAGAATTTGAAGGTGATTCATTACCTAGTTTTTGGCAAACATTTTGTTTGTGGACAATTAAAAATCGAGATTATTAATCAATAAATCAAATATGTGTCACTCTGCACATTTCAATGACGTCATTAATCGCTGTTCGCCGTTGACGTTGCCGTTGTTAGATAAAGACACAGGGAAAGTATGGTCGTTGACGTTGGGTTTTCAACCAATCAAATTGGGGTAGGGGAGACATTTTTCTAGTTGACGACAATCAAATTTTGATAGAAATAATGTGGTTCACTAACATTAAGGCATTTAATCACCTGATCACCAAAACCCTCATATTTTAAATAGTTGTCATCATATTCTACACGATTTTGCAATTACGCTCCGCCCCTCGGTCTAACAACGAATGAAAAATTCATCACCACAGAGATCGAGACGGATGGGTGGGGCTTCTCTTTTGGTTTTCTTTATTAATTACCACATTTAGTTTTCTTTGTATAACACGATTACTTAAGAACATATTTCACATGGTAATTTCTCGTAAAAGGAATAAGAATTTTACAATTAAGCTACGCCCCTCAGCTTATGATGAATAAAACAAATCATCAGAATTTTTCATAATATACATAGCCATCTTTGCACAACAAGAAACTTAAAACTTGGTTAAAACTAATTGCAAAATCGATATTTCCTTATACAAATTTTCCATTTTAAACATATTTTAAGTTTCATGTTGTGAAAAGAAGTCTACACATATTAAAACACAAAGCCAAAATATAAGCCCCGCCCACCCGCCCTATCTTAATTGTAATGTTTTTTTTTATTCGCCGTGAATCAAGGTGGGGCTTCATCTTTGGCTTTAATGTTTTCTTAATATACATAGTATTCTTTGAATAACACGATACTCAAAAACATGTCTTAGATGGTAATTTCTTGTAGAGAAATAACAAAGATTTTGCATATTAAATTTCGCTCTTTTGGCAATCGACAATTGAAAAAATAATCATCACAATTGAGATAGGGCGGGTGGGCGGGGTTTATATTTTGTCTGTTTTCTTTATATACTTAGTCGTCTTTTCAGAACAAGAAACTTAAAACATATTTACAATGGTAAATTCTTGTAGGAAAGTATCAATTTTGTAATTAGGCTCCGCCCCTCTATCTGACAACGAATGAAAAAATTATCACGATTGATATCAAGACGGAAGGGTGGGGCTTCTCTTTTGTTTTTTTTTTTTAATTAATTCTTTTAGTTTCGATTCGAATTCGATTACTTAAGAACATATTTCACGTAGAAGAATAAGGATTTTACAATTAAGCTACGCCCCTCAGCTTACGACGAATAAAAGAAATCATCAGAATTGGGATAGGGCGGGTGGGCGAGGCTTATGTTTTGCTTTTTTTTTCTTAATATACATAGCCATCTTTTCACAACAAGAAACTTAAAACATGGTTAAAATGGTACATTTTTGCAAGAAAATACGGATTTAGCAATTATGGGGCGGAGCCTAATTGCAAAACCGATATTTCCTTATACAAATTTTCCATTTTAAGCATGTTTTAAGTTTCATGTTCTGAAAAGAAGTCTACACATACCTATTAAAACACAAAGCCAAAATATAAGCCCCGCCCACCCGCCCTATCTCAATTGTAATGATTTTTTTTATTCGCCGTGAATCAAGGTGGGGCTTAATCTTTGGCTTTAATTTTTTCTTAATATACATGGTATTCTTTGAATAACATGATACTCAAAAACACATCTTAGATGGTAATTTCTTGTAGAGAAATAATAAAGATTTTGCATATTAAATTTCGCTCTTTTGGCAATCGACAATTAAAAAAATAATCATCACAATTGAGATAGGGCGGGTGGGCGGGGTTTACATTTTGCCTGTTTTCTTAATATACTTAGTCGTCTTTTCAGAACAAGAAACTTAAAACATGTTTACAATGGTAAATTCTTGTAGGAAAGTATCAATTTTGCAATTAGGCTCCGCCCCTCGATCTGACAACGAATGAAAAAATTATCACGATTGATATCAAGACGGAAGGGTGGGGCTTCTCTTTTATTTTTTTTTTAATTAATTCTTTTAGTTTCGATTCGAATTCGATTACTTAAGAACATATTTCACGTAGAAGAATAAAGATTTTACAATTAAGCTACGCCACTCAGCTTACGACGAATAAAAGAAATCATCAGAATTGGGATAGGGCGGATGGGCTGGGCTTATGTTTTGCTTTTTTTTTCTTAATATACATAGCCATCTTTTCACAACAAGAAACTTAAAACATGGTTAAAATGGTACATTTTTGCAAGAAAATACGGATTTAGCAATTATGAGGCGGAGCCTAATTGCAAAACCGATATTTCCTTATACAAATTTTCCATTTTAAGCATGTTTGATGTTTCATGTTGTGAAAAGAAGTCTACACACATTAAAACAAAAAGCCAAAATATAAGCCCCGCCCACCCGCCCTATCTCAATTGTAATGATTTTTTTTATTCGCCGTGAATCAAGGTGGGGTTTAATCTTTGGCTTTAATTTTTTCTTAATATACCTAGTATTCTTTGAATAACATGATACTCAAAAACACATCTTAGATGGTAGTTTCTTGTAGAGAAAAAACAAAGATTTTGCATATTAAATTTCGCTCTTTTGGCAATCGACAATTAAAAAAATAATCATCACAATTGAGATAGGGCGGGTGGGCGGGGTTTATATTTTGCCTGTTTTCTTAATATGCGTAGTCGTTTTTTCAGAACAAGAAACTTAAAACATGTTTACAATGGTAAATTCTTCTAGGAAAGTATCGATTTTGCAATGAGGCTCCGCCCCTCGATCTGACAACGAATGAAAAAATTATCACGATTGATATCAAGACGGAAGGATGGGGCTTCTATTTTGCTTTTTTTTTAATTAATTATTTTAGTTTGTATAACACGATTACTTAAGAACATATTTCACGTAGCAAAATAAGGATTTTACAATTAAGCTACGCCCCTCGGCTTACAACGAATAAAAAAAAATCATTAGAATTCTGATAGGGCGGGTGGGCGGGGCTTATATGTTGCCTCTTTTTTTTCTTAATATACATAACCCTCTTAAAACTTAAAACATGGTTAAAATGGTACATTTTTGCAAGGAAATATGGACAAAATCGATATTTCCTTATACAAATTTTCCATTTTAAACATATTTTAAGTTTCATGTTGTGAAAAGAAGTCTACACATATTAAAACAAAAAGGTAAAATATAAGCCCGCACACCCGCCCTGTCTCAGTTGTGATGATTTTTTTTTATTCGCCGCGAACTAAGGGGGTGGAGCTTAACTGCAAGATACTTATTTCTTTACAAAAATTAAAAACATGTTTTTGAGTATCGTATTATTCAATTATTGTATACATTAAGAAACAAAAGCAAAATATAAACCCCGCCCGCCCACCCCATCTCAATTGTGATGACTTTTTATTCTTAGAAACGTAAAACACATTAAAAATAGTAAATTTTTGTAAGGTAATATGGATTTTGCAATTAGGCTCCGCCCGTAGATTTGCCAACGAATGAAAACTTCTTTACTATTTAGATCAGGGCAGGTAAAGGTGGGGCTTAATCTTTGGCTTTAATTTGTTTTTAATATATTCTTTGAATAACACGATAGGGTGGGTGGGCGGGGTTTATATTTTTCATTTTTTCTCAATATACGCAGTCGTCTTTTTAGAACAAGAAACTTTAAACATATTTAAAACGTAAATTCTTCTAGACAAATATAGATTTCGCAATTAAGCCCCGCCCCCAATGTGACAACGAATGAAAAATTCGTTGTCACATTGTTCAATTGAGAATTGAGATCTGGGCGGGTATGGGTGGAGCCTAATCTTTGGCTTTATTTTATATGTTCAAAAATTTAAAGACCACAAGACATAGTACTAAAACTCAACCGACAACAATGTCTACGGAAATTTTTGGTGCCAAAAAAACTGAGGTTCGGATGACTATGATTTTCATTCAAAACAGGTTGTTTTTGTTTATTTTATTTTGACATTTTTGTCCAAAATCTCAGATTTGAAGTTTCTTGTACTACCAACTTGTCAGTGTAAAAATAAGCCTTAGAGGAGTTTTATTTGATGTTTGGTCTCAACTTAATTCACCAGGTGTTGGTTGTTTAATTTTTAAATAAACAGTACACAGCATTCTTTGAACAACACGATACTCAAAAACATGTTTTTAATTGCTCGTAGAGAAATAACGTTTTTGCAGTTAAGCTCCGCCCTCTTGGCTCACGACGAATACAAAAAATCATCACAATTGAGACAGGGCGGGTGGGCGGGGCTACATTTTGCCTTTTTTCTTAATATGTGTAGACTTATTTCGACAACAAGAAACTTAAAACATGTCTAAAAAACTATCAACGGCAACTTGGCAACGTAGTTTATAACGAAATTCAACGTCAACAGCAAATCCCACTTTCAATTTACAATTTAACGAAAATTTCAGATTCAGAATTAATTTGGTAGTTTTTGAGATTATCAATTGAGAGAAATATGAAACTTTGATAAACTCAAATTCTTCCAGTAACACCAGGGTAAACTAAGACACTGTTTCAGCCACTGGAATTAACCTCCACTTAGTAACTCCAGTGATTTGCGGAGTTTGCATCTTCTACACTACCATCGGTGGCCTAAAGGCTGTAGTGTGGACCGACACTTTACAATTCACAGTGACCCTAGGCGCCGCCGGTACGGTTCTAGTTCTTGGAGTTAAAGCAACCGGAGGTCTTGGGAACGTATGGTCAAAAGCGGTGGAAGGAAATCGTCTTGACATTTTTGAGTACGACATAATAACCAAAAAAACACCAATCTACGTTTTTTTCTAGTTTAGATCTTGACGTCACCCGGAGTGACAACTTTTGGGCTCCTTTGGTCGGACTCACCTTTCTGTGGATCGCTTGGACAAACACTAATCAAGGGTGTGTCCAAAAGCTACTTTCAGTTCCAACACTAAAGGACGCTAAATTGTACTTAGATCAATATTGATTTGTATTATTCAGCTAATTTTTGACTGTAGTGCTACATTCTACTACGGACTTGGTATGGGTGTAGTCAAAACTGCGAGTGTTATGACAGGGTTGATAATTTATGCCAGATATTCAGACTGTGACCCTTTTTTGGCCAACCAGATTAAACGGAAAGATCAGCTACTCCCTTACTACGTTCTAGACGTAGCAGGGAACATTCCAGGCCTCTCGGGACTTTTCATAGCAGGAGTGTTCAGCGCAGGACTGAGTACCCTTTCGGCTCACCTCAACTGTCTATCAGGAACCATTTACGAGGACTTCGTCAGTAAATGTGTGTCCCGGGACATCACAGAAAAAACCAAGAGCAACTACCTCAAACTAATTGTTGTAATCTGCGGTGTTGTTTGTACTGTTTTGGTTTTCATTTTTGAGCATCTAGGGGGAATATTACCACTAGCAATAGGTTTCGGAGGGATGACTGCCGGTCCTATGCTTGGAATGTTCACAATGGGAATATTGTTCCGAAGGGCTAACTGCAAGGGTGCTTTTTATGGAGGCGTGGTGGGACTAGCTTTAATCACGTGTCTTGTAATGCCAACTAAATATTTACAAAGTCGAGGGATGATCCACGCTCCTGAGAAACCGGTGTCAGTTGAAGGCTGTGCTTTTAATTTCACGCAACACAGGTTTAATTTTGTCGTAGAAGCTCAAAACGGATTTATAATTTCGATAAATTTTAGCAATTCGACGACTGAAGATAACTACGCCTTGGCCATTTTCAAAATCTCGTTTTATTACTACACTTTAATCGGTTTCGTCTTGACAATGCTCGTCGGACTTATTGTTAGTTATTGCACCGAAGAAGACCAGAAAATCGTCGACGAGGAGTTGTTGAGTCCCATGATTCGACACACTGATCTCGATTACAAAAATGGGGTCATTACCGAATACAATACGGTGGAAAAAGCACTCCATTTGGTCACCGATAATTCGGCAAAGGGTGACTCAGCTTTGTAAAATTTTAGTTTTGACAGTTTTTAATAAATAATTTGGCAAAAATAAGTATGATGTGATTTCATTATTATAGTGTCGCAGTTGATGAGATGTTTCTGACAGGAGATAATTTGATTTTATCTGCTCGAAAACAAAGAGCTAATTTTATCAATTCGTTAATATTTTTATCGATTAGATTAATAAGTATCTAAACTTCGGCTCAATTTCGAGTTTTGCTCAGTCGAGAGTGGTTTTTGCAGATGTGTGGTTAAAGTGTTGTGCATCATGAGACGAAAAATAACTCTTTTTGTTTTTACTTGTCTTATAGCTAGGTGTTACTCTCAAGGTAAATAATGTTTAGTTTGGGGCTAGTTTTTAGTTAAGGTTACATCATGTGTATTTAATTTTGAAAATAATTTTATTATTGTCTACTAAACTGACTTTCAAAATTTCAAAAATTAGAGTAAGAGGTACGGAGAAACAGGTTTAATTGATTTATATTCTCATATCGAATACATTCCATTGTAATAAATGGAACGTCACTACACTAAGAACTGGATAAGATAAGATTATCTATTTTAAATTTAATACGAGGTACGTATGCAGTCCTTTACATGAAATATAAATTACTCAAAAGCTTTTGAAAACTGTTTTCAAACTTTCCTGAACGTAGTACAATCTTTATGTATTTGGTACTACATTGAAAGTAGCTATTTACATATTTTTAAAGGAAATAACTGAATTTTTTTACTTTATACGTAATAAACTAATAATGCATTTTTGAAAGTTTAAATAATGGAAATAACTTACGACCGAAAGACTGTTGGAACAAAATAATAATAATCATTTTGGTTTCTTGAATTTTCTATATTTTTATACATTTTGACACATATTCCAGTGAAATAATTATAATAAGAAAATTGTTTATGAAGATACCACGCAAAGTTACATTTCTAAATTACAGAATGGAATTTCATTAATATTTTAAAATACGATTTAAAAATTCGTACAAACTCTCGTGTATTTTTTTTATATACATTAATTGTAAAATTAGAAAGACTAGGTCGAGTTTTATTATCATCAAGGAAATTTCGCTAGATAACGGTATTATTTCAGCCTAACCGAAGTGGTTCAAATCTTTTCGACCTCAAACATGTTTCAGATATAATTTATCTCTTTATTAAATTTGAAATTAGAAGTGTTCTAGTATAGCCAAAATAGGTAACAATGAGTTTACAATGTGTTTCATATCAGTTGATAGATCAAAATTACTTTATTTAAGTCAATTGTTTGACTAACTTGTAAAAATGATTTTTTGAGTATAATATAAGATATAAATTGGTGGTAGGTTACACCACAACGTTTTTAAGTAAACAGGGGTTTGAGAGTTCTTTTCAGTTTTGCATGGAGTTTACTCTAAATTTTTCTCACATAATCTGTTGCAAATTTTATCGCCTATTTCTTAAAATGGTCTTTTGGTATACTTAGAGTACACTCTAAATTTTAGTCATCTAATCTATTGCAAATTCTTAACTTTGTCTAATTATTATACAAACATTCTGAAAAACTCTTTATATTCAGAACGTTATTTTAGTACCCACTAAATTTTTACGACGTGACTATCACTTTAAATCAATTCAGTTGGATTAAAAATACAAAAGTGCGAAAACAATTTCAGTATTTGAAAAACCATATGATTAGTCCAAATTGGCGATATTTAGAAATTTGAGACAATATCTGAGACGAAAGGTTCTATCGAACTCTCTAAGTCTAGTGGAATTTTTCCTTGTACAGTAACAACAGATATTGTTTCCAAGAAAAAGTTAATCTGTCTTCCATTTTTTTATTTTTAGGTAGTACAAAATGCAACGTCGACGACCCTGAAGGTCATTTAGACTGGCAAACTTTTTTGGTTGCTGTTAATCCAATCAAAGACTCTGAGAGCTTAGACTTACAAATTACATATAGCGGAGATTTTCGTAAGTTAAAATTTATAACAAATTAAGATCGCTTCATACATGGTATGTACTATATCTAAATATACAGATGTGGTGGCGGACACCGAGGAAGAAGGGGCCAAATACATAGATATTACAGCCGACGGTTCAACTTTGAGTATAAAAACCAATGATTATTTCAAAAATAATTATGAAGAAGATCAAAGAGATCAGGCACCTGCCTCCTCGCTTACTATTTATCGAACTCTGTCGATAACATGTGACGGCACAACTTATCAATTTGTGAGTTTCCTTTTAATAATTTCAGACTGACACTAAGAATAAAACAAATTAAACTGTATTATGTTTTAGACTATACAACTATATGTACAAGACACCAACAATCATTCCCCCACATTTGTGCAAGATACCTATACCTACACAATGCCGATGCCTCTGGTACCAAACATAGATCTCACAAATTTTGGCAACATAGAAATAATTGTCGAAGACATCGACTTCTCCAACACAAAGATGAGCTTCGCTGTTGATCCCCCAGAATATTTTTCATTGGACTTTAAAGCTTTGCCAAGCAGGCAGTACCATGCAGTTTTGAAGGTTACACAATATGTGAGATACGACAAAGATTTGACACTGACGATCACCGCAACTGTAAGATTTATTATAACTTCACTTTATTATCCATTAAATGGTTTTATAAATTATAATATGCAATTATTAAATTTTGCTAATTTTTGCATATTTTTTAAGAAATTTAAAATTAATCTCTAATTTTAGGATGAAACTGATCCGTTTCACACTGACACAGCTACAGTCGTAATTAAGAAGGACGCTGAGTTCAGTCAACCCGACATTCCAACATTTTCAGAGCTTATATACGCATTTACTTACTCTAATGATGGCGGCAACCCCGCCATAACACCCGACGACCCTTCAAAACAAATTGTTGTCACTACTAGTGACTCAGACCAAACCGAAGTATCTCTAAGTGATGGTACAACACCAACAATTTCTTTTAGCAATTCCTTATCAAATTCACTTTTTAGAAACATACTTCAAAGCTGAATACGACAAAACCACAAACACAGTCACAATATCAGTTACAGATATACCAGTGGAATCAGCATCCGAATCTATGATGACTTTAACACTAACGGTAAAACTAGGTTCTGAAAGTAGCGAATCGGCCATCATTGTCAAGCTTCCAAGTAATGTCGTCGTCATTATTCCCAAATTTACAGCACCTTACTACACGGCCACATATTCTGTGGATGGTGACGGAAATCCTTCTCTTGCGCTAGACGCCGAACAAGAAATTGCAATTACACAACAGACAAGCAATCTTGATATCGAGCTGGAGGGCGGTGAGTTTTTTCAATTTTACTTGCTTCAATACGCTATGCTTTTTTGTTGCGTTTTCGTAGATGATCACTTTAGTATAGCAAACGTCGACGGTGTATGGACTTTGAACGCAGACAGTCCACTGGACGACGAGATCTTGAAAAAGGGAGAAGATATTACTTTAACTTTACACGCAACAGTTACTGACGAAAATTCAGAAGAGCATGAAGGATTCGGAGTTGTGATTGTAAAATTGCCTCCGGTTCTAGAAGTACCGAGATTTGTAGAAGCTAACTACAGAGGACAATATAAGGTCGATGAGGCAGGTGTTAAAGATACAGTAGAGTTAACAAACGGACCTATAAATATAGTACAGACGGAAGAACCTGTGGATATTGTTATAGTAGACAGTAAGTTGAGCAACACTTGTAACAATAAACATACGAACACAAATAGAACACATAACAAACCATTAGAAACAGTAAAAGAAACTGATGTTTTAAAAATACAGATACTACACACACACAAACAGTAACACTCCAACCGCATACTAACACAGTCAAGAGTCATTTTCTTCTCTAAAAAAATATTCTTCAAAATTTTACAGATGCTGAATACTTCGCATTAATTCAAGGCAGTGATGGGTGGACAGTAGACGTCTTAAAAAAATGGGAACAAGTAACAGAAGGAGGGGATATCGTCCTTACGTTATCCGCAACAGTTACAGGCGCAGATGTAGAACCCGGTTATAGTACTTTAATTATAGGTCTACCCGCAGCTACCGAGGCACCAACCTTTGATAAACCTTATTACACAGCAACATACAAAACTGGTACCGACAAAGACACCTTGGAAGTGCAAGACTCCATAAACGTAGCTGGCGGACCTGATACCGATGTTAAGATTCTCGAGAGTGAAAGTGAGTCTTACGAACACACAAAATTTCATACATTTACACACCAAACACTCACACATATCACAATCACTTTAAACAAAGGACTTCACTCATTTTTTTATTCATGTGCAATCAATGCTCTTCGCAGATTCCGATTGCTTTAGCATTTCTTGTGATGATGGTACTCACATTTGTCAAGTAACTTTAGTCAAAGATCTACCCGACGATGTTATAACTCAAGGAGACGACGTTATTCTCAACATAGAAGCAAATCAACCAGATTCCACTGAAACTGGATTAAGCATCCTCATAATATCACTTGAAACCGTAATACCGAAATTTTCAAAAGCGTACTATAGAGCTAAGTACGAACTTGACGAAAACAACAATGGCGTAGTTACCATGATTGAACAAAATATTACTATTGATTCGCCGCAAGACCAAGCAGTGGATGTTGCTTTCTCGGAAGGTGAGTGGTGATAATACGACAGAGACAACTCTGCGTTCTAAAACAAGTCAGCGCGAGGACAAAAACCACCAACAACGACACAATCAAATGATCAGAATTAGCACACTTTATGCGGATCCACACACTACATTTGGACAACTTCAGTACAGTCGACTTGGAAACAACCATACGCTACAACTATACTCACACAACTTCTGAACAATCACAAAGACAACTACGTTCTAAAATACGAACACTAGATCGGGGACTACACAGGCTGACACTTTTCTAGCGCTGTATCATCAACTCTTGTTTCTCGTTCGCAGTTACGGATAACTTTGGGCTTCAGCAAGATCCTAGTAATGATCATCAGTGGACGGTGACTGTAATTCAAAACCTACCCGACGATGTATTACAGAGTGGTGAAGATCTAATACTAAGCCTTCAAGCTCATATCCCGGGATCACCTAGTAGTATTGTAACTACAGAGACTTTGATTATAGAACTACCTGCAGTAGTAACAACCCCGAAATTTTTGAACGCTATTTACAGTGCTGAATACGAAAGTAATGGAGATGAAAACACAGTAACTTTGTCTAACGGACCTATACAGTTAACCGCAACAGAAAACATAAATGTTGTCTTTGTTGATAGTGAGTACCTACTTAAAGATTTGATTTATCTAGTTACAACAACACACTGTTTTTAATGGAAAGGCACAACAAATACACAGAGAATAATTATTATTGTTTGTAGCTTATTCCGAAAATTTTGACTTTACTCTGGATACTGATCCACAAATTACGGTTAAAAAACCATTAGGAGACGACGTAATCAGTCAGTACCAAGAAGTACTACTGACCCTACAAGTTTCCCTTGAGGGATCGACAGACGATGTAGAGACCACTGTGATAGAACTAAAACTACCGCACCTCGACATACCCAAAACTTTAAAATTTAACAACCCTTCTTTCGTGTTTTCGTACATTGTCGAAGGTGACACTCATTCTATAGACCAGAAAGGACAAACTATTAGAGTCACTAACGGTGAAATGGCGGCAGCAGTCACCATTATGGAAGGAAGTAAGTAAAATTAGGTGAACCAGGACGCTTTTATCGAAGCTAAACGTTGTAGCACACAGTGACAACTTCAAAGTGAGACGAAACGATGAAGATGACACCTACAGCATTATCATTGCCAAGAACTTAGAGCAGAGTGTCATTGATAGTGAAGTAGACATTCTTCTAGTTTTGGATGCAAGTCTGGCATTAGTCTATGATGATTTTGCTACAGTTTTAATAAATCTACCTGCGAAAGACGCCGGAATACCTCCTCAGTTTAAAAATACATTCTATGTAGGAAATTATGTCTTGGGAGAAGAAAAAGACGGAGATAGAGTGGATACGTTCGTGATTGATGGGAACCAAATTAGCCTAAATGACGGAATCAGTGAAGAGGTTTCTGTAACTTTGGCAGGAAGTAAATACGAGTCATTTTTACCCAACACACGACACACACCACATGCTACACTTCTGATTTGTTATGATCGTGGTTAATGTTAATTATTTGCAGCAAATTCGCAGTTTTTCAAAGCTGAACTTAACGACGACAAGAGTGTTACCGTTAGTCTGACGAACAATTTGGATCTCAAAACAATTCTAGGTGACGTCGATATTGTATTAACTCTGCAGGCTACGGATCCAAAAGTTACCGAAGTGGGTACAGCTACTCTAGTTGTAAAACTTCCGAAAGAAGTTACTCCAGCAGCCTTCACACAAGCACATTATACGGGTAGCTACGACGTTGACAGCGATCCAGATGTTGTCAAAATAAACGAAGCGATTGAACTCAGTGGAAATTATTTAGATTCTACAACAGTTGTTTTGGTCACACCAACCGGTAAGAACAGAGACCACACTTAACCGATCTGGATACATAACAGGCAAATTGTAGGACTGCAAGACAACTTTAAATTATCTGATGCTAGTCCATATACAATAACGTTAACAAGCGATATCGATGATGTTCATTCGTACAACGAAATTGTACTTACGCTTGAAGCTTCTATAGATGGAGTTCCTCGTAAAACAAGTGCTACCGTAGTAATTGAAGTACCAGCTATTCCGCTGCCACCTAAATTTTCATATTCGCTATATGAGTTCAAGTATGACTCAGATACAGTAACGTCTACTGATGGAAAAACGATTACTACTGACCCAAGTGATACAACTGCAGTTAAAGTTGTTATTGGAGATCGTAAGTACCTACTTACTACAGATCACACACGTAATCACAGAACGCACTAGTACACCAAATTAATCATTACTTCTAGCATATACGAAGAATTTCAAAATATCTCCCGTTGGAGACGCAGGAGAATATAAATTTGAGGTCACAACTCCTCTTGATCAAACTATTATTGATCAAAATGTAGAAATATTTGTACAATTGGATGCTACACTAACTGGTTCAACTGATACTTCTTCGGCAACTGTAGCCATAAAAATGCCAGAAAAAACGGAGAATGTAGTTCCCAAATTCTCAAACGCTTACTATAAAGCTACTTACACCCACAACGACCCTGATGAAGACATTGTAACTATTCAAGACCCAGTACCTATAACCATTGCCAGTGATCAAGCAAGTGACACTGTAGTAAATGTGATAGGCCGTGAGTAGAGCACAATTAGCTATTCCCATTCGAATGTTCAACGTGATGTAACCTTTTAGAATACCAAGAAAATTTTAAAGCAGAATTTAATACTGACACCAATTCGTGGGGTATAAAAGTTACTAGCAAGTTGGATGATACAACATTAAGCCTGTTAGAACTCGTTATACCTCTGGAAGCTGTGTTATCTGGAGCCGCCGACGTAGGATCCGCTGCACTCGTTCTATCGCTTCCAGATTCTGAAAAGGATCCTATTCCATTATTCGAAAAACCCTCGTACACTGCTCAGTATAGTTTAAATGATGACGGTACCCCTAACGTTACTGGCGATCCTATTGTTGTCAAAGTTGCTGACCTAACATACGCCGAAGTCACACTTGCGGATTATACCGACTACTTTGTTCTAACACCCAACGGCGACAAATCGCAATGGATCATTTCTTCAAGTAGTAAAGCTCTGGATGACGATACTTTAAAAAATAATCTAGAACTAGTGATACAACTAAACGCGCATTTGGACAGCGCTGTAGCTGATGGAGCTGCTGTTCTCGTTGTCACACTTCCACACCAGAGCATTACGTTTGATGCCCCGAAATATCAGGGTGCTTATAAACATGATAGTGAAGATAGCACAAAAGATAGTGTAGATATCGCAGACATAACGATCCAACCAGCCGGAGCTAGTGCCTCTATACAGAATAATGGTAGGTCAAATCATTTCACTGTGTAACGTCTTTCGCTTTTATCATGCAAAAATCAAAAGTCCCATATCTATCCTAGAAGCTTTGAGTCATACAAAGATTTTTTAGCATACCCAGATAATTTTGATATTCAATGCGACGATGAAGGCAAGTGCAACTTGCAACTAAAAGCCCCTCTTGAAGACACGGTACTCACAAGTGAAAAGGAAATTATACTAGTACTGGAAGCCTCAAAAGCAGACACTACTGCCACAAGCACAGCTGCAGTTATCATCAGTTTGCCTTTACTGGAAACCCTCGACGCTCCCGAATTTACCGAAAATGTTTACGTTGCTCAATACGTGGTAGATGAAGAAACCGGTGCAATTACCATAACTCCTGACAACCCAATACAAATTAAAGGAGAAACCGATCTCAATGACTTTAATTTTTCTCTTGATGGAGGTAAAGTTTGTCATTCTTCAACAGATCTGTTTTAAACTAATTTATTTTAGACAATTCTGACCATTTCAATTACAATTTTAATGTAGACCATTGGGACATTATAAATAGTGAACCACTACCAGACGAAACTCTTAAAAACGAGGTTTCCATCCTTTTGAATTTGAAAGCCACTAAACCCGGCGTGTCGGTTCCTGGACTGGCCGGATTGGTTATTCAACTCCCCAAATCAAGTAAGTTGAGGCAATGTTAAATTTTTAAAGTCATACTTTTGCTAAATACTAAGCAAAGAAACATAAACTACAAGTTTAATTCTGGTTATAGCGGATCCCGAAATCTTGTCTTTCACTCAAGTTGCATACATCGCAAATTACACGGTCGTTACTGGAAATAATAACGACGTCCTGGACATTACTAACGGTCCAGTTAAATTTGATGGTGTGGATGATGCCAGCACGGTCAAACCCGATGTGGTAGAAGGTACGGCTCCAGGTACATAATTTTGTAGCCACTGAGTGTACTTTATTTCAGACGAGTACAAAGATTACTTCAGTATAACTCCTGAAACGGACGGTTGGACTATTGCAATGCTAAAAGACTTTTCTTCTGAGATAACTGACCAAATATCTCTAACCGTAACTCTTAAAGCTACCCTAGACGATCGGTCTGGAGAATGCGCGCTTGTCATCTCACTACCTAAAAAGGTTAGTCCAGCGAGCTTCCAGTTTGAATTCCCAACATACCGTGCAGAATATGAACAAGTCCAAGATGGAAAGGACAAAGTATCGTTTGCAAAATCTATAACTCTTACGGGGGATGTGGACGGCGTCACTGTCGAGATCGACGGAGGTTTGTATTTTAGAATCACATCAACTGGATAAAAATTATAAATGTGCTCTTGCAGATTATGCAACATATTTCGTTGAGACAAACACCGGTAACACAGTTTCAATTGAAGTAAACAAAGATCTCCCAGACGATGTTTTGGACAAGGTAGCAATCACTCTTGATATTGTAGCATCTAAATCAAACGAAAAGGCAACATCCACTGCAGTTATAAACCTTCCCAGAAAAGTTGTTCCATCTACTTTTTACTTTGACAGTGGTGTTTACACAGGAACGTATAATGAAGATGACACATTTGCTCTTGATTCTGACCAAAAGATTTCGCTTACGGGAGACATTGATCATTCGGCAACATTCGCTGCAAATGGAGGTTTGTCTTGTTAGTCACTGAATGACTTCTAACTACTCATAAACGGTGTTTTTTAGACTACGCGGAGTACTTTGATGTATCGTACGACGGTGAAGAAATAAAAGTTACGTTAACAAAAGCTCTTCCAAGTGAAGTGGTTGAACAGAAAATAACAATTCCTGTTGAAATCGTGGCTACTAGAGAAGGAGTTCACACACCAACTACTCTAATTGTAAAACTTCCGAAAAATTCGGCACCTGCAACGTTCTATTTCGAGCATAATGTCTATACGGTACAGTATAAAGATGACGACGACAGTCTCGTTCAACCGGATATAAATATTGAAGGAGATTCAGACAACAAAGCCAGCGTTAAGCTGATCTCATCAGGTTGGTTAAGCTTTTAACAATGACTGACAAAATATGAATATATTTTTTCACAGACTACGCCAAATATTTCGACGCTGGATACACAAATGGCGCAGTCAAACTTACAGTAAAAGAACCAATTACAGATGAGATAATTGCGGAGAAAGGAGCTATAACTGTGGATCTTGAAGCTACTAGCTCAACTGATGAGGTCGCAACGGCCACTGTGGTTATAGAACTTCCAAAAAGAAACACTGCGGCTACTTTCTACTTTGATAGCACTATTTACGAAGCTAGTTATAATGATGACGGCGTTACTGTAAACGGAAGTATAACTCTTACAGGGGACTCAGACAGCACCGCTACTGTTGAAGTGCAAGGTTGTATAATTTGATATAGTATTCAAAGTTGATAATATTGTCAAAACTCACATTGTAGGAGAGTATGCAGATGACTTCACAGTAACATATACCGACAATACAGTAGAACTTTCATTGACAAAGACTCTTCCAAGTGATGTTCTTGATACCTATGCAGCAATAACCGTCGACATTGTAGCCACGAGAGGATCAGAAACGGCAACCACTACCGTAGTTATAACACTACCGAAGAAAATTGTCCCTGCATCGTTTAGCTTTAACAGCACTCACTATGTAGGAGACTATAAAGTAGATGATAATGGGAATACACTTGCAGTTAGTGCTATCTCCCTGAAAGGTGAAACAGAAAATGTTAAAGTTACCATAGAAGGAGGTTTGTCATTTACATTACTTACACCATAATCACCGTTACAATATCCGTTTTGTTACAGAGTATAGCGACCACTTTAGTGTTGGCTACGCTAGTGGCAATGTGAACATCTCACTAAAGAAGCCTCTTGATAGTGACATTCTCGACACGAAATCGGCAATTCCTCTCGATCTCAAAGCTGTCAAAGCTGACGAAACAGTAATAACAACGCTTGTAATAACACTTCCAAAAGAAGCATCAGTTGGTGACTCTGAAGATGACAAAACCGGACTCATCGCAGCAGTGGCGGTGTTGGCCGTCCTTTTAGTAGCATCACTAGTAGGAAGTGCAGTGTTCTACTATTTCAAATTCAGGTACGTTTTCTAAAACACAAATCACGCATCGTCTGACGTTTATTTCCAGGCGAGGAAGTTCCTACAATGACATAGACGAAGGCCGGCCGTCGGAGAGGTTTAGAAAAAATAGCACCACAGACTCGTAAGTAGTTACTTTTAGTTTAAAACACGCTGACACTCCACAACATTTCAACAGAACACGTACAGACTTTCTGAACACAAACAATAATACAATATGACTAATTTGTCTGTATCAAATTTCAGGAGAGCGGCGTACGCGTATTAATTATAGATGATAGAGAATTTTAGAATTTAATTTAATAAAATTACGATATATTATTTTTTGTGATCAGAATGAATAAATTATGATTACATTAACTGCTGTTTTCTTCCTCGTTCACCCACAAAACCAAACAAGAAAAACACAACACTTCATTTGTTTTAGAAAAAAAGTTGAACACCCTACGCGCAGAGCGACGGGGGTTATAAAGTACCCGCTAGAAGAAGTCGCTGAAAATGGTGAGACTCCGACGGAGGAAATGGAGCCAAATTTGGAAAAGAGAAAATCTGTACAGTTTGATACGATTAATATTGATGAGTTAGAGATTGAGAAGCCGGAAGACGACGACAACGACTTTATGGGAGATAGTGAGGCGGAGGACGGCGACGATACACGAAGAACCTCAAGAGTGTAGCGCTAGAATAGATAAATTATTATAAATTACTCAGTATTAATCAGCCGGCTGGGTTGGTTTGTACAAACTGCATACTGATATTTTCATTTTAGTAAAGTATTTATTATTTATTTTATTACTGTATTTGTGGGAAAATCCACTAATAATTAAGGTACATATATAAATATTAAACATGATAAAGTGTGAAGTACGATAGATAAGCGCAGGCGCTAAAAGAATAGTGAGTTGTGAGTATTTTAGGATCGTTTTTAGCAGTAAACACATTAAAATATTCAACCGAAGGTTTTGATTGGTGAGTCCAAATCCCACCCCTTTATTCTCGTACTGGTCGTGGATTGATTTTGTTGTACGGAATGCGATTGGTTCTAATGAACATGGGCGGAGTTTAAAAAAAGCGTATGTGGCCATCGCTAGTAAAAATCCCCCTGCTAACATTTTGTTGTTGATTTTTTATGACATTGACATTCTATAAACAGTTTCAACCGCAAAGATTAACTGATAACATTGTTAAATCAAAGTCATTACTTAAATCAAAATGCGTTAATCGATTACCTCGAAATCTCTAATCATAGACAAAAAAAAAACATATGGAATACGATCAAAATCACAATAAGCTGATATCGGAAACGCTGCGCTGTAGAACGACGCCGTCGAGAATAAATGTTCGAATTCAAGCCGCAAAAACATCATTAAACCGGTAAGAGAATAAATTAGACCTGAAACGAATCACTAAATTGTAAGGAAATATTAAAGCCCTCCCGTTTTTTGAGTCCACGATGATATTAATAGTGACATCTGAATAAGTAAATTTCCTAAACAAAAGCAACACGACGTGTTGACGTCGAAATTTCACACATTTTGGATTAGAACACATTAATAATAATAATTAATTGCGCTTGTTGAAAAACCAGAAGTGATTGCCAAAACGGCAAATGAGTGAGCTTTTCCTGCATTACCAACCCCCTCACCAACTACCAACCTAAAAAGTTACATTTACTAATTCTCTAGACGGTCTGGCACCTTAACTAAAGATCTTTGTACATAGGTGACTATTTATTTTCCAAATTTAAATTATTCAAATGCGGTTTCACGTTTCTTTGTTTCTCCACTACAATATTGTTACGATGATTATGTACAGAATAATTCAGACTCGACTGGAATGGATTTGACTAGACTCTACTTCTCCCACTGTTTGGACTCCACTCGTTGCCAGAGACTGCCTCGTTCCCGAAGGTGGCCTCTATTTAAACCCATACATTCCTCTGGATGGTTCGCGAACGCCGCTTCGAGGTTTTTCTGGACCCCGCCATCGAGACTTCCGGTAACCCGCTCTCGACTTGTGTTTATGCGAACGCCGCCCTACCGCCGTCACCGATAATGAGTCACCCATCATCGTCGCACATACTGGAAACCCATAGGCGGCGTATATAATAGGTAATACTCTTACTAATGTCTTTATATTTATATTTATATTTATACTTAAAATCCTACAACGTCTCAATTAACCTCGAAAACCTTAATGACACAGTGCAAACGGACGAATACGTTTGCTTACAGTGAACTGTATAATATAAATCACACGTGGGTGGTAAAGCGCTAACTCATTTAGAAAATTTTATCTACGGCATGGTAACCCAAACTTCCCGCCTTTAAATTGAAATTGAAAAAGTTTGAAACGCGTGCGAAAAATTCAAAAATTCAAAATTTGGCCTTGGCTGTGATCGCCTAACAAAATGAAAATCTACGTTGTGTGTGTTTTTTTTTTGAAAAGTGGCGGGAAGACGTTCTTTCATACAAGTGAGCATACATTGCGTGCGAGTAGAGAGCGCAAGAAATAATAGACAACATTTTTGGGAGGGGGCTAAAATTCGCGCCCTCTCTCTAAGCGGAAAAGATCTGCGAGCATTCACTTCTCAGCCCCAAAAACCCCCTATGGTACATTCGAATGCCATATTACATTTCAAATGAAACACCTTAAAAATATGAAAGAAAAGACTCGCGAATTGACAGACATACACATATGAAAACCTAACAAGTACAAAAACCCTACACTAGTGTTTGAAATCAATGCAAATATTTGAATATCACAAATTTAATAAAAACAAAGCAAAATCTGAATTAAAGTAACTGGATGCAAATACACAAGTTATTACGGGCGTGTGGCGTCAAATTTAAAGTTACGTCAGTTAACAGGAGCTCAACAAAAGTATCCCTGGGCGTTCTAGCACAAGCGGAGTTTGGGGCTACCGGTTGGGGCTGTTCTCCCCACTCGACGGTGATTCTATCTATCGCATCTCCATGACGAACATGCCGTCCGAAACTAGGCCATTACGATCGCAGATCCGCATTTGGGTCTCGACTATTGGGCCAAGTCGACAGCGCTCCAACATCGCGATCGCTCCTGAATCTATCCAAACATATACTCTTTGTGCAGGTGACGCGATAGGATCTCGCCAGCTCGACTAGGAACCGCACTTAGCTTCTGCCACGTTTTCTGCGTTATTTAACCTCAATTCCATTTTAAATGTTCAATCTCTTATAACTCAAAAATATTCAGTCATCGTTGCGAGGAAAAAGCGTCTCGGTGATCTAAATTTTATCGTTGCGAGGAAATACCTCGATGATGTACATATTTTAGCCTTGCGAGGAATAATAAGCCTCGGTGATGTAATCAATCATCAATCTTTAACGTTGCGAGGACATGCCCCGGTGATGTAATCATGATAACGATGATAATAACCATGATAACCGCCTAAGGGACGAAATTATTTTAACCCCCCGCCAGTTCGCAGTATAATGAAGTTTGTTAAGTTAACTGCCGTAAATGAACTACTAGCAATCTTGTGTGAAGAATCAAGAAGTGTTGTAATGAAACACTTACGCATATGCATCAGAAACTTATTTATAATTTGTTAAACAAAGAATTGTTATCCTGACTAAATGAATTTCATGAAATCTCCTAGTAAGTGGTTTATTTAAATAATCCCAGAGATTTCTTAATAACCTAGATACGGTGATCCTATGCAAAAGCGAACATACGTTCTTGGCCAACATGTACACTATGCGTTTTGCTTTCCATCTTCTTTTACAGCATGGGAACGCAGGAGTATGATTTTGTAGGTCTTTGTTTAAACCTAGCAATTTACGGTTTTGCGCAGTAAACCCTTAAATTCTGCTAGCGCAAGTCGGTTCTTAATTCATACAATCTCCGGTGTTTGTGTGTTTGTTAGTTTGTTCTAAGAGATTTCTTAGGTTATAAGATTTATATTACGGTTATAAGTTTAAATTGCATAGAATTTCTAAAAATGGGTTACAGAGTGTGTGTTGTATGCAAAGAAAGATCTAATAATTCTTTTGTTTCGCAAAAATATTACAAAGATTTTTAATAATCCCGACATGAACAATCAGTGCATTTCTCAGGGATTACTAGATAATCACAATATACAATTGATGGAGGCAAGAGCGCAAATTTAAAATTATTAATTTAAAAGTCCGCTTGCAACACGAAGCAAAACTGGTAAATTTTGCTTCAAAACAGGCGAAAATAAGAAGTAAATTAGTAAAATACATTTTATTTAATAATGGGTAACTAAGATTACATTAAATCACCAATATTTAATAATAATGTTAATAAATTTATACCACAGCTGTACGTCTTTTTTCTTTTTCGTTTTAAGCTCTCAACATTGTGCATGCAAATAAATACAATACGATTCTCTATTTATGTTAGAAACGTTCGTGGCAACAAAAACTTTTGACTACAAGAAAATTGTATTATGTCATTTTTCAAGAGTTTCGCCGGTGTAAATGATAAAGAAAAAGTACGAAAAAAGTGAAGTCGACAGTCAAATTTATTCCAACGATCTTGTCCGTGTAATATTTTAATCTTAACATTACAAATCATTTTGGAGATTGCTTAGAAACTTTTCGTTTGCCACTTGTTAAAAAACTCGAGTTATGATTCTCTTTTATACCATTTTAAATCAGTGCGCCAAATAATCAACCAATGTTAACAGTCGCTAGAAGTAGACGAAGATAACACTAGTACGTAGTGCACACTACAACGAGTAAGAGAAAGACAGAGAACTGAAAGTATGTCGACAATATTTTCATACATGTTGTTCCACACTTTGCTGCTCATAGCCGTATCTAGGTTACTAAGAAATCTCTGAATAATCCTGATTGTTAAATTGTGTTAGCACTAGCTGACGATTAAAAAGAAAATTAACTTGATTGGTGAATTTACAAACAATAAAACAAATTTACGATTGATTGTCGTCAAACAAAAGCTTCCGCCCTTTTATTAACTACCAAACCAGCTAATTTCAACCTAGCTACTTACAGCGTCCTTTCACCATGCGTCCACTACACCAAACAGAAACATAATGACTCCCGTTTTCAACATGCCGCCCTCTCCTACCTACTTGCATATCTGGTTGCCTATGCTTAACGATTTTTTTGACGATTTTTTTCTTTTTCTTTCAAATTCAAATTATTCAAATGTGATTTCGCGCCGCTGTTAATTAATTTCAGCGCGAAAATTTGATTCAAATTCGGTCACCACAACGGTTTCAAAATAGCTTATTTTATGTAAGACTGATGACTCTGATTCCCGATCTCTTGAAGTTTAATAGCTCTCACAACATACAGGGTGACTGCGAAATAAGTGCAAATATTTTAACCACGGCATCCCCCACCCTAGTAGAGCCGAAATATAGAAAAAATAAATTAAAAATCTAATGGGGCAAAACCCCCATGAACCACCCTCGATACGAAGACACTGAGCCACCTTGTAAACAGAGTTGGAAAAACGTTCGAATAAAAACGACCTAAACACTTTCAGTTTCAATTAAAAGTAAAACCGACTTTTTGCTGCTTATCATTCGTTCATTCATTTACTCATTCATCGTTAAAGGTCAGTGTGAAAGTTTTTTAGTAATTTTGATTCTGACGGATGTTTGGTCCTTGTCACAACGATTTTACATTGTTTATTGGAACAGAAATAAGAGCAACTTAGAATGCTACTACCTTTTTACAAGAAATGTTGAAAATGTTGTCCTTGACTAGCAATACAGGCGTCAGAGCGTCGCAAGAGGTTTGTTGATAGGTAAAAAAACACCGGAGTAGCGGCTGCCACTTTCACTTGTTGAAGCTCTTCGATAATTTCTGGACACTGTTGATTTCCACAAACGAATCGTTTCATCCAACCAATACACGTTTCTCGAAAATCGTCTCTTGAAATCGTACTTGTTGACGACTATGTGGAGTTCCATCGGACAAAAAGTGAGTTACAAAACGTGGACAATCAGCGGGCTCCAAACCGTGCACTTTGTCAACATGGTATGGTTGTGACCGTGTACTTTTAATGTAGGATGCACTACAAGCTGCGAAAATCCAATTTCTTCTTTCTGTCCCATCACGACCACGATCGTCAGTTTGAGGTTGAAGGTACCATGATCTCGGAGATGCTGTACCACTGATGCAAATTACCATATCGACACACTCTGCATTGGAAAACTGGACCATACACCGATTTCAACGACCGCTCGATAATGACTGGCCCTTTTCGTGTTTTTCACGTTGCGATTAAAAAAGTGCCTGATAAAGTTACTTTTTTGGTTCTTACTCCGAGTCCCCTACCCATTCATTGCAGTAATTATGTAGGTCACGAAACATTACCAGCGGCGCGTATAACAATTTACATTTAATTTCAAATATTTTTTTCTAGACACTGCTACCACTTAGGACCGTGAATTTTTGCCAGTGACATAATCATATTGTGAGCTATTCCCCATTTTTTTTTTGCATGTATTTCGCAGTCAACCTGTATAAAAAAAATAGGTCTCCCATTTTCTTGTTTTTTATTTTTTTTTTAGACTTTATTAGACATATATTTTTGGAATATAAATGGTAAAATGCTAAGAAAAAAGTGTCTGATCAACCCCACCAAAAATCGATGACGTCATGTCAAAATTTTGTTTAAAAGTGCAAAATAAAATTTCCAATTTTTATTTATTTGTACGTTATAAATGTGGGTTATTAGGGAAAATGAAAATTTTACAACGAAATTATCAGTTCTAAAAAGTTGATGACGTCATCTCAAATGTTGATAAGTAAATCTTGCTTAAATTTATAATATGACATGCTACTTTATTGGTGGCTTAACAACATATTAATACTTTTAATGATACACATATTGTTTATAGCAAAAACATAAAACTTTATAGAGAATTTTAATGTTAATTTTGACATTTAGACAGTGACACAGAAAAAATCCATTAATAAAATGACTTTATATAATGTAATATAAATAAAGCTAACTTAATTTTACATCAGTTGTAAAAAAATTAAACAAGTATTTGTTGAAGAATTGTGTAAATTTTTTGAGACGACGTCATTATTTTCTCGGAAGGCTGCATAAAGAAATTCCAGTTAATATTTAAAGCAGTGCTTACATTTGTACACAATTTCTAATAAGAAATTCGTTAGTCATTTTTATCGCAAGCTATAAAATGTGCTATCAAACTTACTTTTTTAAGACAAGTTTTATCTGTAAATATCAAAATTAAGGTCATAATTAATACTGGTTTTTAAATATATTTTTTTAATGGTAGATAAACAAATTGTTGATAGCTCAATGAACTTAAAATATGTAATAAAAAGTCCAAGTAATCGGTTCTCTAGTTAATTGTTTAATAAAACCACCAGTACACAGACAGATGGAAAAAAGTAATCTGCATTTCCCTATGTTACGAGTCACTAAAATATAAAATTAAATGTTAATTATGAAATCCTGCATAGACTGTGTGCCCTACAAATGAAATTTGTTGCGTAGTTATGCAACCAACAATTACACATCTGCATACTTTTAACGCACAGCGATAAATTTTGTTGGTTTTCAATTAAAAATACTACAAATATTCATCATGATAACAACCTCATCCCGTTTTTACACAATCAAACCCTTCCGTGTTTATTTTATGAATAAAAATGTGGATAACACAACAAACACGTTGCATCTTGTCTTAACAAATAAAAATCCAAATCCCGGAACATTAATATTTTACTGCAGCGTCGTTACACCTAAACTAAACTAGTAAAACGAATGCATCCATCTCTGCGTGGTCCGAAAGGCCACGTGCATTGCAATCCAAACAAATTTTCTTTGGAAAAATCGTTCCCGATCACCTTTCTGACCCAATATTTATGTAAGCGATTACCGCTAATACCCGAATAAATTTTATCTCTTATCTTATATCGTTTCAAGTATGTGAAAAACTCATTATCTACGATAAGGTAATTGTAGCACAACCTTAATCCAATTAACGACATCTGTTAACAAATGCGCGGGTACTATTGTGGCCTTTTCAATTATTCAGCCTCATCCTCTTAAATTGTTTATGATTGTTCACTTGTTAACGGTCGACATCATGTGGATAGCATTCCAGTGAGAGCACGAAAATGGAGCAGAAACTAAGCAACTTGAGGAGCCTCTTCAAAGCCCAGTCCCCGCAAACCGAGTCCGGGGAACCGCAAATCGGCTTCAAAATGACCTTCTCCAAAAGCTCCAAGCAGCTGAAGATCAAAGTGATAAGTGCTAGGCACCTTCCAGTGAACTACGGCAACATCAAACCCAAAGGATATTTAGTCAAGGTAGGAGGAAAGAGTTTCGCGGAAGAGAGATAACGCGTTTTTGCAGATAACAGTCTTTCCGGAAAAAGAGAAATACGAGACTTCTGTTGTGAAAGAATCGTGGCCTACGTTCAACGAGGAGTTTCCCTTCACGCTGCACTCCACTTCCAAGCACTACCAAGATTACTTCAAGGGCAAGTTCGTGTCCTTCACGGTGTACGCGGTTCTGGAGAACACCACGGAAACGGTGGCCAAGAAGCACTCGACGTCGAAGCTGAAGAGGTTCTTCTCTTTTAGTGAGTTCGGGGAGAACACGACTAGGTTTAGGAGGAGCTTTCGGCATTCGTTGAACAGCAGGAGGACGGTGGGTGCCGTTACCTATAATCTTGATTCGAAAATCTTTAACCAGAAGCTAGGGGATGACCTCATATGTACGCCGGATATTTGGAGAGGAATCAAGGAAATTACTAGCGGAATACAAACCGAGCCAGTAAGTACCGATCGTTGACGTAAAACCTTGACTGTGTTTACTTAATAAATTGGTTCATGGTATTTGTTTGATAGTTCGTAAAAGTCTATAAATGTGCGAAATGTGTGGATGGACGTTCAGATTTAACATTTAGTGAAGAATGTTGAGATAAACTGGGTTTGAAATGGTCGGTCGTCAGAGATAATAATACCTGAATTCTATTTACGTGCAATGTATTGACAGAGATTACAATCGTAAGGGTGATATTTACACAATGGCAAAATTTGAATAAGGATGCTCTATTTTCTAGACGTTATCTTGAAGGCGCATTATATCCAGTCAAAACAAATAGAATTATCATTGTGAAAATGGTATTTGATTAAGGAGAATTTAAGGAATCGTATAAACAAATCTGCTTTGTAAACAGTGTGAAACATTTTTATGTTCTGTAGAACAGTCATGCCAAAGGTTTTCCCAAAAAGGATGTTGCAATAATTAAATTTCAACTGAAAAGTCGATTTAAACAAAAATTAATAATGGTAGATAAAACTACATATATTACACAAAATTACGTTTGCAATCTGTTCGAATATTAAAAATACACCATCTGTTAAACTATGTTAGAACTGATAACACAAAATACAAAAAACCCCAGGTGGTAACGGAAATTATGTTTGAAATTTTAATAAAATGAAATTGCATGTAGAATATAGGTTTAGATGATTTTGCATTTTATCATGTATTTTTTCAAGTTATTAATTAAATCTGAAACCCCCACATCACATACAAAAAAGAACACATGTTTAATACAATCAAAATCACAGTAAGCTGGTTTCGGAAACACTACGCTCTAGAGCGGCGCTGTTAAAATAAATGTTCGAATTCAAGCGGCAGAACATTATTAAGGCTACAAGAGAATAATTAGTTCTTAAACAAACCATGATTTTTGAAATTTTAATAAACTGAAATGACATATAGAATATAAACTCACGTATCATAAAAATATTCATGGATAAAATAAGTTATAGTTTGTACATTAATGATTATGGGAAGTACTGTGTAAGTACATACTCCCGAAAAATAAAAGCAGATTACTGAAACACAAGATCTGCTTTTGGATAAGATTTATTTAAAAATTTATTTAAAAAAAGTCAGTCACAAATTTTCAAAAAATGACAATTAAATATGTTGTTGTGAAAATCCGTTAAATTTATGTATATGGAAGGTATAGCAATCTTCCGTTGCGTCATCTGGGCCCGTTTGCGTATGCAGAATAGTTATAAATCAGCCGTTAAAATATTCAGAATCTCTGATACATAGGAACACTTTGCAAAACCTCCCTTAGAATTTCTAAAATTCCTAGATCATCATGATTCTTAGAATCTCTAGTGTCTTTGGCATTTCGAAAATTAACACGTATTCCAAGGATCTTCAAGCATTTTAGAATCAGGAGAATCTAAATTATCTTTGGAATTCTCGAAAAACTTCAAGATTGTCTGAACTTTCAGAATTATCAAAGATCGTTAGGAGCTTCAATATTTTTTGTACCTTCAAGATATTTAGGATCTTTGACACTATTACGATCTTCAGAATCGTTAGAGGCCTCAAGATCTTCAGTACCTTCACTATTTTTAGAATTTTCAAATTATTCGGCATCGTCAGAATGTTCGAGATCTTCAAGATGTAAGATCATCAACACCTTTAGGAGATTAAATAAAAAGCTATCATAACCTGAAAATTTTTAATGCAGACTAGAACAAATAATTATATTAATTAAAATGTTTATGGTATTATGGAAACCCGAAAAGAGGAGGTGGAGAAGCCTAATACCTCTCGCTACAGGGTACCGCAATACTTTCTAAGAAGTGCGGGCAGTCTTCACCTGCGTGCAGTGTATCAGACGAAGACAAAAACAGAAACACGCCAACTAGTACTTGTATTAATTAACTGCTTTTTTCTTTCTTTTTTTAATACCCTCCTGAGTGGGGGTGGAAAGTAATAGAATTTCCACCCCCACTCAGTAGAATTAATATAACATAATTAACCCCGCCCACCCACCCTCCTCCATTTCAGTGATTAATTTTTTCTGGTCTGAATGAAAGGTGGATCTTATACTGAACAGAAAAAAAATCGTCAAAACGAGAACCGTGCGGGTGGGTGGGTGGGGCTAGTGCATACTAAGATAAAACTGATTTTGGCAGATGACATACCTCCTAAAAACAATAAAGGGAGGGTGGGCGTGGCTAGTACTTTCTAAGATAAGACTGATTTTGACAAACAATATACCCTATAAGAAAATAGAGGGCGGGTGGGCGGGGCTACTACATCCTAATTGCGCACAAGTCTAAATGAGTTTAAAAAATGAAATCCTATTGGATAAAAATAATAACAAGGGTCAATTTATTGCAATAACTGAAATGATTGAGATCAATGACCTGAATTAAAAAGCTTTCTACACAGTTTTATAAGCAACCATCAGCCCCACTCACCCACCCTCTCTTCATTTTAGTTACTATTCTTAATATTGTTCGGTCTTATCTTAGCAAGTACTAACACCGCCCACCCGCCCTCTATTTTCTTGTAGGGACTATCATTTGCCACTATCAGACTTATCTTTGGAAATACGCACATTTCAATTGAGATATGATTGAAAATACTAAGGAAATTGCGTCATCGATATTCGGGTGATAGATAGATAAATATTTATATCACCACGACGCTCTGAAATTACGTTAAATAAACGATTCAGAAAAGTAAGAATTAGATACAACAAAGATATATTTACTTCAGAGTTCAGGCAGACGGAAATGCGAAACTTGCATTTTTGTCTTCTATGAAGTGCGAGTGAAAAAAAAAACAGTACTTAAAGACACTTTGACAGTTTTATAACGAAAAACTTACAGTTTGTTTATTTTGACGATTTCATTGTTTGCATTCAAAGTGTAATTTTTCCTAATTACATGTCAAAATTTGATATTTTTATTTTTGTTAATTAATTATTGTGGTTAATATCAATTTCATAACTTCTTGTTGTTTTAATACTCATAAAATACGAATGTGCAGGTTTCCCATTTCCATTTGTTTATGAATTGAAAATTTATTGTTGCTGCATTGTGAATTCTAATTCAAAATTTGTTTGTTCATTTCCTTGAAAAACTGTATGTTGTCGTCTCAGAAATTCTCCAAAGTATGGTAAATATCCTAAAGAAATTCATAGTCAAAATTCACAATTTTTTTTTTTCAAAATTTGGCTGACACCGCGTTTATAATATTAGTATTAGATATATCGATGACACAGTTGAGTTATTATACACTTAAACGAAAGTGACCTACTACTGACTTATCCATATTTTTGAACATCATTTTTGTCACTCTAAAAATGTTAACGTAGTCAATGTCAAAAATAACAGAACCATTGATAGTAACTTTAATGTTCAACATTTGTACACATATTTAGAACAAAAACCAAAATGTAGCCCCACCCACCCACCCTATCTCAATTGTGATGATTTTTTTTTAATACATCGTAAGCCAAGGGGGCGGAGCTTAATTGCCAAATCCTTATTTCTATACGAGAAATTAAAACATGTTTTTGAGGATCGTGTTGTTCAAAGAATGTGATGTATATTAAGAAAAAATTAATTAAAAAATCGTCACAATTGAGATGGGGCGGGTGGGCGGGGTTTATATTTTCCTTTTTTTCTTAATATACATGCTATTGTTTGAACAACACGATACTCAAAAACATACACCCTTTGGTTCACGGCGAATAAAAAAATCATCACAATAAAGATAGGGTGGGTGGGCGGGCTTACATTTTGCCTTTTTCTTTTAACATGTGTAGACTTCTTTTCACAACATGGAACTTAAATAGTTGATGTAGTCAATGTCAAAACAGAACTAAAAAATAGGGTTAGTGGGATTTATAAACTTGCTGTTGACGTTGAAGTTCCCGTTGCAGTTGCTGTTCCCGTTGACGTTACTTTTAGAGCTGAAAACTGTCATTTATAAACTCCGTTGCCAAGTAGCCGTTGATAGTAACTTTGATGTTCAACTTTTACCGTATTTAAAGGGGTTGTAGAAGAAAAGTATCGGATTTCAGTTGATTACTACAAAAATTTATCATTTCAGACATGTTTTAAGTTTCTTGTTGTCGAAATAAGTCTACAAATATTTAGAAAAAAAGGCAAAATATAAGCCCCGCCCACCCACCCGTCTCAATTGTGATGACTTTTTAACTGCAAAATCCTTATTTCTGGACGAGAAATTAAAAACATTTTTGTTGTTGTTCAAAGAATATTATGTATATTAAGAAAAAATTAAAGCCAAATATTGTAAAGAAATAAGTATTTTGCTCCGCCGTCTTGGTTCACGGCCAATAAAAAAATCATAACAATGGAGATAGGGCGGGTGGGCGGGCTTACATTTTGCTTTTTTGTTTTAATATGTGTAGACTTCTTTTCACAACATTAAACTTAAAACATGTTTAAAATGGAAAATTTGTAAAAGAAAATATCAAGTTTGCAATTAGGCTACGCCTCTCAGTCTGACAACGAATGAAACATTCATCACGATTGAGATCGAGACAGATGGGTGGGGCTTTTCTTTTGGTTTTCTTTTTTAATTAATACATTTAGTTTTCTTTGTATAACATGAGTACTTACGAACATATTTTATATGGTAATTTCTCGTAGAAAAATAAGGATTTTACAATTGAGCCCGACCCTCGGCTTACGACGAATAAAAAAAGTCATCAGAATTGAGATAGGGCGGGTGGGCGGGCTTATATTTTGTCTTTTTTCTTCTTCCATAATTGCAAAATCCATATTTCCTTGCAAAAATGTACTATTTTAACCATATTTTAAGTTTCTTGTTGTGAAAAATTGGCTATGCATATTAAGAAAAAAAAAAGGCAAAATATAAGCCCCGCCTACCCATCCTGTCTCAATTGTGATGACTTTTTAACTGCAAAATCCTTATTTCTGTACCAGAAATTAAAAACATTTTTGTTGTTGTTCAAAGAATATTATGTATATTAAGAAAAAATTGAAGCCAAATATTGTAAAGAAATAAGTATTTTGCAGTTAAGCTCCGCCCTCTTGGTTCACGGCCAATAAAAAAATCATAACAATGGAGATAGGGCGGGTGGGCGGGCTTACATTTTGCTTTTTTGTTTTAATACGTGTAGACTTCTCTTCACAACATGAAACTTAAAACATGTTTAAAATGGAAAATTTGTAAAAGAAAATATCGATTTTGCAATTAGGCTCCGCCTCTCTGTCTGACAACGAATGAAACATTCATCACGATTGAGATCGAGACAGATGGGTGGGCTTTTCTTTTGGTTTTCTTTTTTAATTAATACATTTAGTTTTCTTTGATAACATGATTACTTAAGAACATATTTCATATGGTGATTTCTCGTAGAAAAATAAGAATTTTACAATTAAGCTCCGACCCTCGGCTTACGACGAAAAAAAAAAAGTCATCAGAATTGAGATAGGGTGGATGGGCGTGGCTTATATTTTGTCTATTTTCTTCTTCCATAATTGCAAAATCCATATTTCCTTACAAAAATTTTAACCATATTTTAAGTTTCTTGTTGTGAAAAGTTGGCAATGCATATAAAAAAAAAAGGCAAAATATAAGCCCCGCCCACCCACCCTGTCTCAATTGTGATGATTTTTTAACTGCAAAGTCCTTATTTCTGTACGAGAAATTAAAAACATTTTTGTTGTTGTTCAAAGAATATAATGTATATTAAGAAAAAATTAAAGTCAAATATTGTAAAGAAATAAGTATTTTGCAGTTAAGCTCCGCTCTCTTGGTTCACGGCCAATAAAAAAATCATAACAATGGAGATAGGGTGGGTGGGCGGGCTTACATTTTGCGTTTTTGTTTTAATATGTGTAGACTTCTTTTCACAACATGAAACTTAAAACATATTTAATATTTCCTTGCAAAAATGTACCATTTTAACCATATTTTAGGTCTCTTGTTGTGAAAAGTTGGCTATGTATATTAAGAAACAAGAGGCACAATATAAGCCCCGCCCGCCCACCCTATCTCAATTCTGATGATTTTTTTATTCGTCGTAAGCCGAGGGGCGGACTTTAATGGTAAAATTCTTATTTTTCTACGAGAAATTACCATGTGAAATATGTTCTTAAGTAAGTAATCGTGTTATACAAAGAAAACTAAATGTATTAATTAAAAAAGAAAACCAAAAGAGAAGTCCCACAGTTCCAAATTAACTTAAAATTACTGAAAATTTTAACGTTGTATGCTTCAAAACTGAGATATTTATCCCCACTAAACAATCGATGACGTCATCCTAAAGAATTATTAAATAAACCTGTATCGTAAATAGGCTCTATGGCCCATGTGAAGTTGTATTTGCCTCCAACACGAGAGAAATTAGGTGGAAATATAAAAATACCAGTAACTATTAATGATTGAGGTCAATTTTTAGGTTGGCAATTCTGAATTATTAGCAGCAATGTTCACAATTTGTCAGTTTTGATATGAGCATGCAAAAACCAATGAGAAGATGGCAGCTACTGAATTTGAACTCAAATTTGAATTTGACATGAAGTGTTGCATCACAAAATTTTAAATATGTTGCCATCCTGACAAAGAAAATCCTTTTTGCAGTTAGTGCACAAATAATTATTTTAAATTAATTTGTCATTAAATGTGTCAATTAATCTCATTCCAGTTTTTGAAATCATATTTTTATTATTGTGATAATCGTTATTTGTATAAAAATGTAACAACTATATAACATAATATAAATAAACGTGGACTATACAGTCACTTTTAACGTAGGAACTTTATAATTTATGGTTTTTTATTAGCCTCATTAAAAAAAAAATTATCCATGTCATTATTTTTCCGGGTATGCCAGTTTCAAAACATTGCAATTTAGCAACAACAAAAATTAACCCTTTTTGTTAATTCCAGCGCGAAGGTAAAAACGGGAGCGTGGAAATGACCCTTTCTTACGCCATCAGCGAAGACCGAACCAACGACGTCGTCGAGGTCTCCATAACCCGATATCGATGCAGCTTGCAAACCATGCAGCAGCAGGAAAAGCTCGGGGGGCAGCTCTACATCAAAATAACCGCCTTCGAGCACGAAGATTTAATCCAGAAAATGAAAAGCGACCGCTTCGACCCCACGATTTCCCTAAAACTTGAAGCCAACACCGCCGCTCTGCGAGCTCGAGTGAACAACTACAACCTGGAGCAAGTCAAGATTTTAGTTAGGTTAATCTGCAAGAACATACTAGGGAAGAAAGTGGTCTTGGGGAAAATCGAAATCGACAGCAACAGCGACTTGTGGAAAGAAATTGTGAGGACGCCGTCTGTTCCCATAACGCGGATGATCAATTTTGAGTAATTTTGTACTTAGTCCGAATCGATAAGACTGCAAATGGTGCCAAAAAGAACCACGCCAAGTTTGTGGTTGCGATATTTTCAGGATATATGGAGTTTATTTATTGTAATTTATACTCGGAATGAATAGATTTTTTTGTTTGAAAAGGTCAGAGCTGTTTTTCATTTTTTACACAATGAAGGCTGTAAATTAAAGTAGCGCTCCTTAAGGAGAAGAGTTACAAAAGTGCATGGGATATTTGAGCCGCTATATGCGTCTAATAGCCCCATTATGTACTATTAACAACAATGCTAACGCTTTTAACGCATAATTTATTCATTTAAGTGTGTTTGACCCCGTATGCACGAATACATTTTTTATCATTTCCTTAAAGAGAGAGCAGACATCTGTTTCATATTTAATCCAATTTTATATTGAAGTGTCACAAAACAAATAAAATATATAAATATTTATCAGTGTCGGATAAACTGTAGTTAAAATTATTGCAGTTCGTTGGTACGGCGGTAAAAAACGGTTTATGTTATCACTTGTTGATATTAACGGGTGTCATTTTAAAGCAAAATTAATGGATACTGTGTAAATAACCGCAAAAAATTTGTGGTCATTCCACTGCTTGTAAGCGATATTAACGCGAAGCGATTTTTTCCGTGATGGCTTTTAGTCTGTTTTAATCAATTTCACGAAGATGGCTAAGGCTAGCCACACACGATCGTGAATATCGTGCGAAACGCTACACACATTTTAAAAATTTTAACAAATAAAACATAAAAGTTGTGAAATTGCAAGTACAAACAAGTGTGAATTTGTCATTTCTTCCATGAAAATTTATCACTGTAAGCTTTTTATTTGTTTGTTAAAACAGTGTATGTACTTTGAAACACAATTCTCAGTAAAATTTCAAATCTGGTTAATTTTAAGCATACAAAACCAAAATTAATTTACATATGTTATTTTTTAAAGCTTTTATAGGAAAATTAACATCACCCATAAAATTTTGATGACAACTGTTGACAGTAATTACCTCCATATTTTTCCTATTTAAATTTACACGTATTTGGTCAATTAAAAAAATTATTACTCCAATACTATGTGACTATAAATATGAATAAATAGTATTTAACTGCGCATTCGATGATTTCTTAATTGGCCACTATTTCATTTTCACTGCCAGCCGGAGGGAACGTCAGTGATTAGATCTTAGTTAGTTATATAGCACGGCATGATACGCATTTATTATATTCGTTTTCATAAAAAACAATGTCTTGCAATACTATTATTAAATCGTCAGTTTATTAAATTTTCAGACTCACTAATTTTTGATATTTACTAAACAATATAAATTTATTAAGTAAAGTTAGCCTTCAGAGAGTCAATTATTTTTTTATTTCGATCGCCGTGAGTTGCGTTTCGAAACCAGCTTGCTCAAAACAATGAAATAATGGACTCTAATTCGCTTAGTTTGTTATTTTGATTGCAATTAAAAAAAATATTTTGGTTAAAATTGAATTCGAATCAAGCTTTTGCTGTACTTGTCAAACAAGCCAGCCGTGAACTTTTAAATCTAGACGCTACATTTTAAAGCGCAATTTTCAATTAAAAGCTATTTTTGTTGCGCTAAAGCCGATTTACAGATGCTCAGTTACATATTTGATCGCTATTAAATTTTAATGTGGCGTTAAACTACCACGTGACCGACCCTACGCCAATTAGATGTCACTAAACGCCTCATTAAATGCCTGATTAACTCAATTTCAATTAAAATATGCCGTAAACTGTCGCTACGTATTTTAATGTTGATGTCTACAATCTAACGTCAATTATAAAAATTAAATTAGTCGTTTCTGAAATAATTGATATTTTTTTTACATTATGACGGGGTCATAAACTTTCCGGACGGAATAAATACGTCAGTTTAATTTAGCGTTCAGGAATTTTTAAAAGTTTCAAACAAGTTCGTGACGTAATTTGTAATTTTTTTTTTTAACAAAATTGTTTTATGATGTCATCAATTTTGTGAGGAGATCATAAATAATTTGTAATTATTATTGTGTCGTTTAATAATACTATATATTTTTCTAACGATTCTTGTAAAGCTTGTTTTTCTAAATTTTAATCACCCATAATCTGCCACTGCTTATGATTCAATCACATTATGTCACGAAAAACCCATTGTTAACTTGTTTATATTTGGTATGGAGTGCACCCATGATAGGAAACGGATTAACAATTGCTGCAAAAATATTAATGTATCGATAAAGAGCAAGACTATAGCTGTATTTCTAGTGACTGTTCCGATCAACATTATTTCAGCAAGGATACGTATGTCAATTCCGACACGTGCAGAGTAGTAATAATAAAACAATGGGGTGTAGCATTTTTAAGATTTGATAAATAAAGCAAAATAAAAAAAAATCCCATGCCACATTTGAACGTACGAGATTTTCGAAGTCCGAAGGTGAATAATTTAGACGATAAGCTAACAAATAACCTTGTAGGAACTCTGCTGATACTAGTATGAAAGGTTATAAAACTATAATTTTTTTGCGAAAATTTGGATGTCTGATGGAAAATATCAAGGCGGATTCATAAACCACAAATATAGAAGTACAGGACTATGCTATTTTATAAAGTTTAAATCCTACTTGCTGTGAACAATTATGAGGGGATGATTAGGCAAATTTCAGCTTTTGTCTGTCGTCGTGAAAACATAAAAGTAGCCAGTCGCTCGCTTAACTTACGCTAGAGAAGTAAAACGCCGTACCGTTAAAAATTGCTGCTTAATAGATATGCAACCAATAATTCCGGTGGAATGATAGTTTGCTACCTAACTCATGGAAGCGGCTAATTGTTACTAAAAATATAGTGACATATTTTCTAAAAGCAACTTGAAGTACCGTATTTTATAATCATCCCGTAAATTCGTCCGAAATATTTTTAAGTCATGTATAGGAAAGTAAAGAGTTCTACAAAATCAGATTACTAGAAAATATCATTGGATCTTGCGAGATATTTCCAATTAAGCTTTATATGCAACTGTTCTTTATGGAATATTAGTATTTCCACTGGTATAGTAATCGAGTCCCTCGGGCGACTTGCCACTTTCATGTTTTCTCTACGTTTCATGACCCCTAATATAAAAAAAACTAGGTCCTCCTTTCTGTCTGTTAGTCTGTCTCTCTGTCTGTCGTCTGTGTCAATTTTTATTGGAAAGATAATCTCCGAAACTGTAGTGGACTGATTGTTGTAAAATTTTGTATGTATATTAGGAACATCATCTAAATGATAATACACTAACCAAAATTTGTCTAACCATCCCCATAAATAATGTGATGGCATCATTTCAAAATTGTACATAGTAAACGGGTTTTAAATTGTATAAAATAACAGCCCTACACATGTAGTTTATGACTCCGTGTAGTTTTTACCCGAAACCTCCAAATTTTTGGAAAAAAAATCAAAATTATGAAACAACATTTTGCTGAACCTTATGCTTTGAACTGTTGCAGATGTTTTAAAGTTAAGATGAGTATGATAAATTTTTAATCAAAATATATTTACTTGTCTCCTCCAAAAAATTGATAACGCCAGTTCATGCCAAATGTCTTTTTTTTAATGTGAAACCTTCTCGGAGGTCCCAAATGTGTTTTTTAAGAATGTGAAACCTTCTCGAAGGTCAATCAATCAATCAATCAATACTTTATTGGTGTTAAAAACTTACAAATACAGTTTTACATAAGTCAAATAATAAATTAAACCAATAAACTATTAAAATTTCTACACCGAAGATAATCCTCAATACTATAAAAACAATTCATAATAAGAAAAGTTTTGAGTTTTGTTTTAAATATAAGGTCCCAACTGTCCTTTTTTAAAGAAGGCGAAACCTTCTTGGGGACGCCAAACCCTGTTTTTTTTTAATGTCAAACCTTCTCGGAGGTGCCAACTGTCTCTTTTAAAAATGTAAAACCGTCTCGGGGGGCCCAAATGTATTTTTTTAACAATGTAAAACCTTCTCAGGGAATTCAGTTGTGTTTTTTAGAAATGTAAAACCTTCTCAGGGCGCTAAATGTTTTCTTTTTAGAACATGAAACCTTCCCCGAGGCCCAACTGTCTTTTTTTTAAAATGTAAAATCTTCTCGGAGGCCCCAAATGTCTTTTTTTTGCGAAACCTTCTCGGGGCTCCCTTCTGTCTTTTTTAAAAATGTAAAACCTTCTCGGGGATCCCATGAAGTTTTTTAAGAATACGAAATCTTCTCAGGAGCCCCAACTCTCTTTTTTAAAAATATATAACCTTCTCGGGGATCCCAACTGTCTTTTTTAAAAATGTAAAACCTTGTCAAGAGCTCCAAAGGTATTTTTTTAAGAATGTGAATTGTGAAACCTTTTCAGGAGTCGCAATTGTCTTTTTTAAAAAATGTGAAACCTTCTCGGGGGCGCCAAATGTTTTTTTTTTAGAATAAGACACCTTCTCAAGGGCCCCAACTCTTTTTTTTTTAATGTATAACCTTCTCGGGGATCCCAACTGTCTTTTTTAAAATTGTAAAACCTTGTCGGGAGCTCCAAATGTATTTTTTTAAGAATCTGAAACCTTTTCAGAGGTCGCAATTGTCTTTTTTAAAAATGTAAAACCTTCTCAGGGATCCCAAATGAAGTTTTTTAAGAATACGAAACCTTCTCAGGGGTCCCAATTGTTTTTTTTTATGTAGAAACTTCTCGGTGGCGCCAAGTGTTTTTTTTTTAGTATATGACACCTTCTCAGGGGCCCCAACTCTCTTTTTTAAAAATGTATAACCTTCTCGGGGATCCTAAATGAAGTTTTTTAAGAACACGAAATCTTCCCAGGGGCCCCAACTCTCTTTTTTAAAAATGTATAACCTTCTCGGGAATCCCAACTGTCTTTTTTAAAAATGTAAAACCTTGTCAGGAGCTCCAAATATATTTTTTTAAGAATGTGAATTGTGAAACCTTTTCAGAACTCGCAATTGTCTTTTTTAAAAATGTAAAACCTTCTCAGGGATCCCAAATGAAGTTTTTTAAGAATACGAAACCTTTTCAGGGGTCCCAATAGTCTTTTTTACAAATGTAAGACCTTCTCGGGGGCGCCAAATGTTTTTTTTAGAATATGACACCTTCTCAGGGGCCCCAACCTTTTTTTTTTAATGTATAACCTTCTCGGGGATCCCAACTGTCTTTTTTAAAAATGTAAAACCTTGTCGGGAGCTCCAAATGTATTTTTTGAAGAATCTGAAACCTCCTCAGAGGTCGCAATTGTCTTTTTTAAAAACGTAAAACCTTCTCAGGGATCCCTAATGAAGTTTTTTAAGAATACGAAACCTTCTCAGGGGTCCCAATTGTTTTTTTTTTATGTAAATCCTTCTCGGTGGCGCAAAATCTTTCTTTTTTAATATGACACCTTCTCAGGGGCCCCAACTCTCTTTTTTAAAAATGTACAACCTTCTCAGGGATCCCAAATGAAGTTTTTAAGAATACGAAACCTTCTCAGGGGTCCCAATTGTTTTTTTTTTAATGTAAAACGTCGGGGGCGCCAAATGTTTTTTTTTTTTTTAATATGACACCTTCTCAGAGGCCCTAACTCTCTTTTTTAAAAATGTAAAACCTTGTCAGGAGCTCCAAATGTATTTTTTTAAGAATGTGAAACCTTCTCTGGAGTCGCAATTGTCTTTTTTAAAAATGTAAAACCTTTTCGGGGGCGCCAATTTTTTTTTTTAGAATATGACACCTTCTCGGGGATCCCAACGGTCTTTTTTAAAAATGTGAAACCTTGTCGGGAGCTCCAAATGTATTTTTTTAAAAATCTGAAACCTTCTCAGGGGTCGCAATTGTCTTTTTTAAAAATGTAAAACCTTCTCGGGTATCCCAAATGAAGTTTATTAAGAATACGAAACCTTCTCAGGGGTCCCAATTGTCTTTTTTTAAAATGTAAAACCTTCTCGGGGGCGCCAAATGTTTTTTTTTAGGATATGACACCTTCTCAGGAGCCCCAACTCTGTTTTTTAAAGATGTATAACCATCTCGGGAATCCCAACTGTCTTTTTTAAAAATGTAAAACCTTGTCGGGAGCTCCAAATGTATTTTTTTGAGAATGTGAAACCTTCTCAGGGGTCGCAATTGTCTTTTTTAAAAATATAAAACCTTCTCGGGGGCGCCAAATGTGTTTTTTAGAATATGACACCTTCTCAGGGGCCCCAAGTCTTTTTTTTTTAAATGTATAACCTTCTCGGGGATCCCCACTCTCTTTTTTAAAAATGTAAAACCTTGTCGGGAGATCCAAATGTATTTTTTGAAGAATCTGAAACCTTCTCAGAGGTCGCAATTGTCTTTTTTAAAAATGTAAAACCTTCTCAGGGATCCCAAATGAAGGTTTTTAAGAATACGAAACCTTCTCAGGGGTCCCATTTGTTTTTTTTTTTTTTATGTAAAACCTTCTCGGTGGCGCCAAATCTTTCTTTTTTAATATGACACCTTCTCAGAGGCCCCAACTCTCTTTTTAAAAACGTATAACCTTCTCAGGGATCCCAAATGAAATTTTTTAAGAATACGAAACCTTCTCAGGGGTCCCAATTGTGTTTTTTTGAATGTAAAACCTCGGGGCGCCAAATGTTTTTTTTTAGAATATGACACCTTCTCAACTAAATTAAAAATATTTCTTTTGGATAGAAATTTTTATGATTTTAATGACTTTTTTAAGAAAGCGTGTAGCGTCTATTAGTTCATTGTAAGTAGGTACATGTTATCGTGTAATATGTAGATACCATCTTGTATTTTTTGCACTATTTTGGTGCTATGTGTCTGTAGTGTTATTTTATTTTGACAATCCCTTCTTAAATATTTTCTATTGTCTGTATAATATTTTCTGAAGGTAAATAAAGTATTATTATTATTATTATTCTCAGGAGTCGCAATTGTCTTTTTTAAAAATGTTAAACCTTCTCGGGTATCCCAAATGAAGTTTTTTAAGAATACGAAACCTTCTCAGGGGTTCCAATTGTCTTTTTTAAAAATGTAAAACCTTTTCGGGGGCGCCAATTTTTTTTTTTTTAGAATATGACACCTTCTCGGGGATCCCAACTGTCTTTTTTAAAAATGTGAAACCTTGTCGGGAGCTCCAAATGTATTTTTTTAAGAATCTGAAACCTTCTCAGGGGTTGCAATTGTCTTTTTTAAAAATGTAAAACCTTCTCGGGTATCCCAAATGAAGTTTATTAAGAATACGAAACCTTCTCAGGGGTCCCAATTGTCTTTTTTTAAAATGTAAAACCTTCTCGGGGGCGCCAAATGTTTTTTTTTTAGGATATGACACGTTCTCAGGAGCCCCAACTCTGTTTTTTAAAAATGTATAACCTTCTCGGGAATCCCAACTATCTTTTTTAAAAATGTAAAACCTTGTCGGGAGCTCCAAATGTATTTTTTTAAGAATTTGAAACCTCCTCAGGGGTCGCAATTGTCTTTTTTAAAAATATAAAACCTTCTCGGGGGCGCCAAATGTGTTTTTTTATGTGAAACCTTCTCGGGGGTCCTAAATGTCTTTTTAAAAATGTAAAACCTTCTTGGAACCCCAAATGTATTTTTTTAATGTAAAACTCCCTTTGGGAGACCCAACTGTCTTTTTTAAAAATATAAAACCTTATCAGGGGCGCCAAATTATGTCTTTTTAAGAATGTGAAACCTTCTCGGAGTCCCCAAATGCCTTTTTTTTTTAGATGTGAATCTAAATACATTTTTTGTCCAAATTACATTTAGAGTGAATTATTAAACAGACCTTTCATTTCCAAACTTACTTAATAAAATTTTAATATGATTTTATTTATTTTTAAGAAAATTGAAACAAATTTTGGTTAAAATTTAGAGTAATCGGTATGGTAGTTTCGGAGTTAATTCAATCTACGACCACAAATAAACCTGGGTCATCATATTCTATGAACTATAAAAGCGAAAATATTAATTATGACACTGATTAGAATGGTAGACTGTTGTTTAGATCCTATGCGGTGATGACGATTTTTAAATGAGCTTTTATTTTCATAAAAATTCAAATATTTTGAAAACCCTTCCATCCCCGGAAAGTGTTGTAAGTATTGTAATAGAATCCATCCAGCTAATGCCTAATTTAATATTTTCTCGACGTTTTCTCGACGTTTCATGGCCTCTAGAATATGAATAAGTTTCTCTTTGACTGTCGTCTTTTGACAGTTTTATTAAACATAAAATTTCCGAATGGTATGAAATTAGAATTTGAAAATTTGGCTAATCGTCAACAATCAGGTGACGTAATTTCCAAATTAGTAAAGTAAATCCTATTTATATATTACAGAAATTTTATATAACAAAAAAAGAATGAATGAATATTTATTATTCATTAAATCAAAATCGGCTTACCTCATTGTCGCAAATTTGATGACGGTTTTTATTATGAAAAATTCACGCATATTAAAAAATGTATACAGAGGGTAATCGCAACAACGGTTGTCCAATGGCACAATGTGACCACAACTACGTGTAAAAATCTCAAACAGCCTGTGTATTATTTTTTCAATAATTATGACAGCACGGGACAAATGACTCAATCAATGGTAAACGACCTGCCTTTTTTGGCTCGTCCCATTAAATTAATTGACCCCTCTCATGAATTATTCTTCCTTTCCCAAAGGCAGGATTAGCGCAGCGATTATCCGCGACATTGGACCTGCTAGTGTGCGGGGCGCTTAAGCGTATTTCAAAGATCAGGTTTCGGCGGTATTGCAACAGAGTACAAGTCAACTCACTCAGAATTAGTTTGGTTTGCTCGGTTTAGAAGGCAGCCGGCTCTTAGTTCAATCGTGCTATCTAACATCACGTCGACTCCAAAGAACATGAACCTCAAAGAAAAATGATTTATCTCTTCTTATCTTCCCGAAAATAATAATGCCACCTTCAGTTTAATTCGTTGTAATTTCTATTTTATCTAAACGTGTACAAAGTGTAATTCGTGCATTGCATGATATGAGCGAATTAATTATTTATTATGAACATAACGAGCGCGGAGTGAGAAAATTTTATCGGTGAATTTATATTTTCGTAAATAAATATGCGTTTCCGGTTGGTCGTTCTGCTAATTCATGTCATGTGGTGTAATGAGTTTCACGCCGCCGCCAAAATGGTGAGTAGCTAAAGTAGCTTATTATTAAAATTTGCTGATAACAGGTCTACGTCTAATTTGGTTCCGGGTATTTTAGGTGTGCTATACAGTTATCGCCTTATCAGAATCCATTTACATTTTCGCGAAAATTTCCACTCAGATTGCGGTATGACTCAATACGTACTCCAGTACTCGAGCACGGCCCCAAAAACAAAAAATCGCTTGTTCCGCCACTGGCGCTCCAGCAACCGCAATCTAATCTAAAAATTTATGCAAATAGCATGCTAAATTTGTCCGCCAACTATAAAAATGAAAAATCAATATTTAAAGATGTGCAGGTAGATGTCCGATTTTCTTGTCTGCGCCTGTACCTAAAAATAGCTGGAATTAATTTGAAACAATTGTGTACATGAATAGTGATTCTCATGGGTCACTGCTCTAGCAATTGTTCACCAAATTATCGACTAGATTGAATATCGAACCATCCCTTTGATGGAGTTTATTGTGATTGATTTGGGTCAAACGCCTGTGAATAGCGTGACAATAAATTTTGGGTATTTCCGAAAAAAAGGTTCGAGTTTGACAGCAAAGGCGGCGCGGGTGGGAGGGCTTTCGACAATTTCGTAAGTTGTACTTGGGGATAAATTGAAGAAAACAAACAGTGTTCAGTTGAATGCTAGTAAAATTCTGTGAAAACACTATAAACTTGAAAAATCAAAACAAACTAGACACGACAGAGTACTACATGCTTTCGAAGAAATATTGGCAGTTAAAAATTTATCTTCTGCTTGTAGTTTCATAGTTAGTAGTTACTCAACTTTTAAACATTAAATGTGTCTAACAACAATTCACTGCTTCGTTCTGCATACTGTTTTGTTATCTACTAATTAAATAAAGAATGAAACAAATTTAAAAAAATCACCTACAGTAAAATCTGTCACTGTATAATTTTAAACAGTTTAACAAGAGTTATTAACCCCTTTTTAGATTTACTTAATGGTTTCTAGCAGTACGGATTATATTGTATGATTTTTAAATTTTTGCTCTAGTTTGTTTTACACTATGCAAAAATCCAACAATATCTGAATGTAGTTCCATGGTGAAGTCTTTTAAAGTTAAGTTCAAAAATGTAAGCAAAAATACTTTTTTTTAACATCATTTTTATTTTTTAACTCAGTAGGGGAACGAGGGGCTTGTTGTAACAGTTTTTAGGAAAACGAATATAATTTGGTATCTATTAACTGTTTGACCATTATAAAAGTATCTATCGGTAGTCTCACTATTCCCCTATTGGGCTGAACAGGCAAAAGGTCAAAACTGTTCATCTTCACTTCACACCAGGCATTTTCTTAAAAAAAGTGCATTGCTACAACTTGCCCCGTGGTTGGGGCTAGTTGTAACAGCCATGAGACAGGTAGTACCAGTAAAAATAAAGCTGATGTTGATACATATTTAGACTTTATTTTTCAAAAATCAACACAGCACTTCATTATATACAATTTTTTTTCAGTAAAACTGAAATAAACTTTTAGAAAAAGAGTCAACATTAAAGATTTGAGTTTTGTCTTCCTTTTTCTTAATATATCTGGAAAGCAATATATGGCATAGGTCAAAATTTTGGCTCGCTTTTCGTATGCTATGTACGAGATTTGTAGAAGTGAATTTGGGATAAGTTGTAACATGTTACAACTTGCCCCAAAGCTATTGTTACAACATGCCCCGTAGCACAATTTTCTACATTTAATTACATTTCGACAAAATTATGTGGCTTAGCGTCAAAATGTGTAAGGAATATCAAAGCTGAGTAATTTTTGAGCTACATGCAAAACTAAAAGTTTTAAATTAATTAATAACTGATACGAAAAACCAAATTTTACTAAAGCAATATTTTACATTACTTGGCCAAAACGAAACACGTGCACAGGTCCACTCACTGCGCTGGCTCAAGGAACAGTGGTTGTGATGACATGATGTCTTATGGTGCAAGAATTAAATTCAGTAAAATACCTGATGTTAAAGAGTTTAAATTGCGGGTAAAAATGTAGTGTTACAACTTACCCCTGTTACAACAAGCCCCTAGTTCCCCTACTTGCAATATAAAGCTGTTTATAACAAGTCAGTACTTCCTTGCGAATGTTATCAAATCGTTTACACTGGAGAGTCGTTTGCCTTGGTTCAGGGTTTTATTTTTAACTGTATATTTGACTTTTATGCAAGCTTAAATCACCGTCGGTATCATTCATCAATCATCTAGACTGTTCTAAAGTTAGAATATATTATATTACTTGTTATACATATATCTTATCTATTTTTGAATCAGAAAAAATATGCGCTTTGATGATAACAGATAATCAAACAAAAACCACAGCGATTGTTAGCAATAAGCACTTTTTAATAAAATTTTGTCTGCACCTTAATGTAAAAGAACTTTTTTACTTTTTGTCAGACGTATTTTTTACTTTTTAAGTTGTCTCCCTAAGAAAAGGACTTTGACTGATTTATTGTAGACTTATTTTTTTAAAAACCGACAACAACTTGTATTACCCTTTAGGAAAAAATATTAACTTGTCGCCAAATAAAGCCGAAGATTAAGCCCCACCCATACCCACCTCGATCTCAATTCCCAATTGTGATGAATTTTTGATTCATTGTCAGATCGAGGGGCGGGGCTTGTCTACAAGAATTTACCATTGTAAACATGTTTAAGTTGTTTGTTCTGAAAAGACAACTACGTAAATTAAGAAAAAAGGAAAAATTTAAGCCCCGCCCACCCGCCCTGTCTCGATTGTGATGATTTTTTTTATAATCGTCGAGAACTAAGGAGCGAAATTTAAATGCAAAATTCTTATTATTTCTACAAGAGATTTTTTTGAGTATCGTATTTTTCAAAGGATACTAGGTATATTAAAAAAAAATTAAAACTAAAGATTAATCCCCACAGCCCTGATCTAAATAGTAATGAAGTTTTCATTCGTTGGTAGACCCAGGGGCGGAGCCTAATTGCAAAATTCATATTTCCTTACAAAAATTTACCATATTAAACGTGTTTTCACTTTCTAAAGATAAACAAGTCATCACAATTTATATTATTATATTTGCCTTTTTTTTCTTAATATACTTCGTATTTTTTGAACAATACGATACTCAAAAATATGTTTTTAATTCCTTGTAAAGACATAAATATTTTGCAGTTAAGCTCCGCCCTCTTGACTCACGACGAATAAAAAAAATAATTACAATTGAGATAGGGTAGGTGGGCGGGCTTACATGTTGCCTTTTTGTTTTAGTATGTATAGACTTCTTTTCACAAAATGAAACTTAAAACATGTTTAAAATGAAAAATTTGTATAAGGAAATATCGATTTTGCAAATAGGCTCCGCCCCATAATTGGAAAACCCATATTTGCTTGCATAAACTATTTTAACCATGTTTTAAGTTACTTGTTGTGAAAAGATTGCTATGTATTTTCACTACCACTGACGTTTAAATGTTTTTTCCTAATTGTGAGAGAGATGGTGCCATGTAATTTTATTAAGTCTATTCGCCATCCCTCTTTTTAAGTAGGATCTTGCTGATTATAATAATTTTAGTAACCAAAAGTAACCTGATAATGCGATACCGGGTGACTATTAATGATTGAGGCAAACTTTTTGGGTTGGCAGTTCTGGATTGTTGGCAGCAGTGTTAACATTTCAGCTCACAGTTGTCAATTTTAACATGAGCGTGAATTTGAATTTTAAATCAGGTATGCCATCATAAAATTTTAAATGTTGCTAACCTGCCAAAAAAGATCAGCAATATTAATAACCACTCGATCTTTTCGATCTAAGGTATATTTTTCTTCATGTTGGACAAACTGATTCTATGGTATAGTTTTTGTGTGTCAGTAATCTAACACCTTTTAAGAAAAACATGGTAATATTTGTCCGCAATAAAATTTAAGTTGGCAACCATGAATCTTTTACATTATCATATTAGATTGGTGGATTTCGTTAGGTTATGATATGGCACTTTAATAATACCTAATCAGTTAAAAATTGTGATATAAGTTAAATGTCAACCATGTTAATTTTGACAGCAGGTGTAACCCTTGGGAGTAAAGTGGAGTGACAGTTCTACCAATCGCAAGCAAAATTTGTTGATACTAACTGAAACAGTAATGTTGAACACCCTGCACAATTAACACATATTTTCTATGTTTGCAAAATAACGTGGCGTCAGCTCTAAAATTTACAGTTATTTTTTAATTTTAAAAATATACCATGTTTTTTAGCGAAGCTGTATATTATCATTCGGAAGTCAATAATGTTCAAAATATTTTTACAATAAACTCATTACAGTTTGCTACATTTTGAAATAATAAACTTTAATTTCCTTATGTTTCAAAGACAATGTTGTTTTTTCTATTTTTGAAAAAATTTAATAATTCAAGTGTACCTCATATAATTTTTGTTTCCTGGGCGTAACTAATCATCCCCACCAATAATGGGATGACGTAATCTCTAAAATTCACAATAGTAAATGTTATTTAAATTTTATAAAATAAAGTAGAACGGAGTGACGTTTCAATGTTGTCTGTCCTATCTTTCGAAATAGATGGCGTTATGTAATTTTATTAAGTCTATTCGCCACACGTCATTTTAACTAGGATCCTGCTAATTATAATAATTTTAGTAATGAAAAGTAACCTGTTAATGATTGAGGCAAATTTTTGGGTTGGCAATTCTGGATTGTTGGCAGCAATGTTAGCATGTCAGCTCACAGTTGTCAATTTTGACATAAGTGTGCCTGAAAAACCAACAAGAAGACAGCAGTTGCTGAATCGGTGCCCAAAATGTCAATTTCACATCAGGTATGCCTTCATAACATTTTAAATGTTGCCAACCTGCTAAAAAAAACACACATTAATAGCCACTCAATCTTTGCAACGTAATCTAGAAGTAGACATATTTTTATGTTCGACAAACAAAATTAAGTGAAAAACAGTAATATTTGTCCATAGTCAAATTTAAGTAGATTT